TAAATTCTGGAGGGATTGAAGGATTTTAATGTTACAAAATGCAAATAATGCATATTAACCCTCGAGTTGCGAAAAAAAATGGCCGACCATCTTCCCATCCGAATCGACTCGAAGGGGGGGACCGGCGATAGCGTTGCCCCGCGAACGACCGTGCAATTTTCGTTAGAAATTGAGATTACGGGGTTAAAACGGATGCTCTGGGGTCTTAATCAACGGCTGGGAACCGCGACGATTCGTTCTAGCGAGGCGTGCGTGCGCCCAGGAGAACCGATACGCGAAACGGAGTTCGGGAATTCAACGGTTGGGAACGGAGGAGAGCGAACGGGAGCCTGAACGAGCAAACAGAGTTCGTAAACACATCAGCAGTCCACGGCAGCTGGCTTAATAAGCGGCCCCACGGTATTATAGATGATCTCTTTATTGACCGCCATAAATCAGAGTTAAGAGCAGGCATTATTATTACCAAGTGCATTATCCAGTACATCAAGAACCGGTGATAGAGTGGGGCCCCGGGACGGCCACGCCAAAGACACCTCCGGAGGAACTGAAACGGCCCGGCACAACAGGTAACTCGAACCCCGGCGGCCCCCGTCCGTAGAAAACAAATAAACGTAACCGTAGAGAAACTGAAATGGCGGATAGGGACGCGGACGTTTCCAACGGGGACAACGCTGAAAACATTTCTCGCCGAAAATAGCGCGCCAACGTTCTAAGAGGATTCCCCCCACCCCGACGGAAGAGGGATTTTTCAATTAAGGAGAGACAAATATTCCCTTCTGGGGCTGAGGAAGCGTCGACATCCATTATGGATTCGGCGAGCTCCGGGGCTGCGAGAGAGGGATGATGCCCGGTCTATCAAAATGCGCATCCTATTTCGTAAAAAAGACCAGAGAGAATCCCCGGATCCTTTTGAATAAAAAGGACTGTCAACGGGAAAAGGGTCCGGTGTCTCCTTAATCCTTGCCAGGGGGTCGAGATCTCCGCGTTTGTCACGATTATTCGGTCAAAAATATTGCCGAGAGTCTTTCTCTTTATCTCGATAGTTCTCTTATGAATGTTGCAATTGCAAAGGTCGTTGCTCCAGTTTCTGTTTCTAAATAATTGTAACGCTGCACGAGAAAGTGATCGACCGAATACAGCGACTGCAACGAGTGACGGAAACGACTCTTCGCCGGTTCGAAACAATTACGAAGCGTTATACAACCGCGTTGCGCAACGATCCGACGAATGATCGAAAGAGAAAGAAATCGCGAACGGGCGACGATCGACGGCGTGCCGATAAAAATAAGGAAATGCGAGTGAAGATCGCGCGAAGGTTCGTCATAGGTTCATCAGCCGCGCGTGGATTCTGAAACGGCTATCAGAGCCTATCGACAGGCAACAGGAATCCCGATAGTCATGGCACGGTGCATACGTGCAGTCGGTCGTTGAAGATGGTTGGGTTCTGGTCCGAGGCTGCGGTGTCCAAGGGTGTCCTTGAAGCGGGCGGGGTCGTCACTCGAGGGCCCCGCAGGTAAACGACCATCAGAATCCATGTGTGTTAGCGGTCGAGGCCTTATAGCGTATCTTACACTCGTACTACTTAACTTTCTGCATCTGTATATGTGACGTTGTTCTGCCTCCTTCCTTCTTTCTCTCTTTCACCACGTCCTCGTTCCGCCTCTCTTTCCGTCCCACGACCGCGGATAAAAGAGGCTACTGGCTTCTCTTACTTTACAAGTGTTACGAAACGGCCGACCCGCCTCCCTTCCCTGCCCCCGCGATACCGATTTATAGCTTTAATTACCGCGTCGTGCAAGATTACCGGAAACGAACTCTGGAGTCGCGAGAAATATCGAAATATAAACTTTTCATCATCAGGGATGAAAATTTATGGTTGTCGGTGAAACCGATCAATTGTTTTAACAGAATTTTCGTTCGACCGAGTTGCGGCTCGTTCGTGCCATAAATTCCCCAACGAGAGCGTCTCGCGGTCGTCCGCGCGTTACAAAGCGCCGGATAAAGACGCATCGCGCTTAATGATAAATGCGGCTCGCGACACGACCAGGGGGTATATCTCGACGCGGAGAAAACAGTTCGCGAAAGGGCATGTTGCATGGAAGTCGTCCTTAAGGGCGTATAACTCAAGAGAGCAGGACGATGCTCGGTCGGTAATGAGCCAAATCCATTACGGCACTCGCAGCAACAACGCAACGCAGCAACACCGTAAGACAGCCCGAAGAGACCTCCCTTCTTGCTCCTTCTCTGCGTTCCTTTTCTCTACCTAGAAGACACCGGTCTACACGCGCGTCTATGCCGCGCACGTATCGCGCGGTTAACAACCACCTAACCAATGGCACCCAGTTCACTACCAATTCCAATTATAGATCGTAAGCGTATTCCGCGGTGCCCGCCGAACTGACAATCCCTTCCCTGCCTCGTCTCCACCCATCTCCTCCCCCTTTTGCGCTTCCTGATCGCGAAACCAATTACGCCGGGGCAAGTCCGCGGAGCAAATTGAAAAGTTTCTAACTGTGATCGTACCGCGAGAGATGCCCGCTAACGAGACAGGGAAACGCGACGATGGAACGCAGACACCGGTTCCCGAACATCCGACGCGACGATTGAATCGTCCCGCTTTCCCTCCGGACGGGGTGAAAGATCGAAACGTTCTCTCGCTTAATCCGGTCGATAACCGTTGTCGTTCGAAGGTCGATAATCGTCTAACGGTCGGTAAACGCTGGACGCCCCAAAAGTCGATAATCGGCTAACGGTCGATAACGCAACGGGGGAAAAAGTTATCGCGGATATTTGGCGCGCCACCGACGAATTCCGATACCGCGTACGGAGGCGACGACAGCTACGTGGAAAACAATTCGCGTGGTGGTTTTTCTCCAGAAACTGTGCGCGTTCGATCGAGGCGAAACGACTGGCCGATAAATTCCGCGGTGAAACCGGACGAGTCGGGGCGAATAAATCTTGCCGCGAGCAGCCGCGAACTATAAAGGAACACCTTTTTGCTCGAGCACATGGCATAAATCGTACCGACGCGGACGATCCGACGCCCGGGCGTATCGACGAGCGATTTTACGATTATGGCGAGGGACGCGCCGGGTCGCGGAATCACCGTCGTTACGATTAAACGGTGTGCACGATGTACGACAATCTGCACGGCGATATAGTTGCGCACCGCGACCGTAAACCGAGGCCCCATCAAGAACCACGGTTCAGAGGTTAACTCGGCTTTACTTGTTTGTACTTTGTCTTCTTATTTCTAGAAGCTTGTTGGCCGACGCGCTAATAAGTTCGGTGCTTAGCGAAAATTTACGACTCCCGAGGTAAGTTTAACAGTGGCGGGACGTATGAGCGGGCTATTTTACGACTATAGAATATGACGCGCGGTCTCGCTACAATTAAACGGTGCGCAAGGTACCGGGCAAGGTCGTTACGGCCAAGACACCGGGTACACAAGGGAGAGGATCGAGCCGACGACGGAGCAGGCGCGCGGCCGACCGTGGACGGGGTGGGACGGTGGCCGGTGGCGCCACGCAATTGTCAATTAACATTTTTACCGCCGTGCAAGAAAACACGAAGTTACGTGCCGGCGTACGTGGCCACCGGTCGGCCCATGGCGAGCCCGACAGGGTTCCAGGGATCACGAGCAGCGCCCGCGGGTGGAACGAAGAAAGCGAAGGGACGAATGTCGTCGCTCCGTGGACCGAGCGCGATGAAAGAGGACGGATGGAAGTGGCGGCGGAAAGGCAGAACGAAAACAAAAAAATTAAAAGAGGAGGGGGATGTATCGAGAGGATACATTTCATTATGATTATGTGCGCAATGAATTGCTAATCGCAAGCGCCTCCTGACCGCGCGCCGCGATCGAGCCGTTTCTTGCTCGGCCAGCGAGGCTCGTGTTTTTCACGCGTGGGAACGAGACAACTTTTCCGCGATCGCTGTACCGACGGAGTCGCGGGAGGGTAAACGGTACGGTGCTTCGGGAAAGGGTGTCGCTTAAATCGTGAAATATTAATTTCGATTTATAATAAAAGCGATGGAACGATGATTGTTCGGTTCACGCTATTCTTATCGAACAATGAAACATCTGTTGATCTAAATATTGATAATTTCTTTTTCTTCCTTAAAACTCCTAACCTATTCGCTCACGCCTGTTAGAAATGGGATGATCTTTGTTTCCACAAAGGTCTTACGGGCGTAATATCACGTTGCACGAGGCTGCAGCAGCTTCGAATATTACGTTTAATAAGCTAGTATCAGGTTTGCTGTTCGTTACGCGGAACGCATAATGAGATCTTGCTGCCTACCGATTCCTTCTAACGGTATTGTAATAACGCCTGGATCGAAGGGCGCTGGACGATAAACAATTATTTGGAAAAATTTCACGCGCAAGCCCCGTCGCCTCGATATTTTTAGAGGCAAAGTTCAAGAGTGGTAGCGACGAAATACGAGCATCCCTCGCGCGCGTAATTCCGTGTATCGGCGATTGGACGATCGACAAAACATAATCCGCAAAACGAGAACGACGACGGCGACTCGAGCGTGAAAAGCAACAAATATCGCCACGGTTGTTCGTTACTCTGTTACACGATATCCCCGTAAGAGGCCGAAGGTGTGCAACATTTTACGAGATGCAAATGTCGGGCAGTCGGACAGCCAGTCGACCGCACCATCGGCTCTCGGCCACCGGTGAACTACGCTCCGTGTAACCCTCTTCATCTTCGGCTCGCTCCAACGCACGCCGTGGACGTGCAAGGGCCTCGAAACCGCAGCTCAAAGTTACGATCCCTCGCGAGACAGCCTGCCGATTCTCAACGGGGCGTAAACATCGCAAACTAGCCGCCGCGACATCCGTTTCGCTCCCTCTGCCCGTGACAATGTCAACCCGGGGAGGGGGTGTCGATCGTTGATCTCAACGCCGTAAACTTGGGCATGGTAGATCGATCTCGGAAGACGGACAGCGGGGAGCCCGTCGTGCCCGTGAAAAGGAAACGGAGACAGGACGACGGTTTCAAAGGGGCACCTTCGGGGACGAGATCGCGATAAAGACTGCCAGTCTCGATTCGCGAGTAAATAATTAATGCCGTTTAAGAGGGCCCGGCGCGAGCAAGCTCGAACACGAACTTATCACTTTACCGACCGAGGAATCCGTTAATCGACTTTTCGCCAACGCTTACCGACCCATAACCTATTAATCCTTTTTTAGCCTTGGACGTGCTAGAGGGGACATTTTTTTAGCTCGAACGCATCGAGGAAGCAGCGAAAGTAATTTCGAAAGGCCCAAGGTTAGGAACAATCACCGGGTCCGTGGAAGAAGTGTAATCCATCATTATGCAACGACATAGTAATCGACCGTGCCGACGATACTCGTCAAGAACTGTACTCGAACCGTGGAGATTTTTCGAGAGAACCAAAAGGAACGTCTCGACCCTAGGCGTACGTACTTTACGATTAAAGTAAACTCCGGTGATTGCGATTCTGCGACTGCTAATTGCTCGGCGCTAATTACAGGGGATCGTTTCCGGAGTAGTTCACCTCGTAAGAAAACCACGGGCACGTTGATGGGTCGAACGCGAAAGAAAATTGATGAAGATGCAACAAGCGGGATGATTAATTGCTGGACGAATTTTAAAAAATCGGTGAACACTTCCACGGGCAATGTGGACCGAACTAATGATAAAGGAAATTACGAACCGAGATAAAAACTGTTTTTAACGCTGTCGAACGAGATACATCCGACGCCTTTGAAGATCTGCAAACAGTATTAAAAGGGATTGAACTATCCTGCAATGTTTAGATATTTACTGAATAAATTCTATATGATTTTTTACGAAGAATTTCTTTCTATAAGAATACCGAACAAGCTATTTCGGTAACCGAACGATGATTAAAACGAGATCGATAATTCTGTCGCGACGTTTCTAAATTAATAGCAACGTATCGACAGAATCAAAGCCTCTACGGTGCAATTAATAAAGGACCAAGACCACCTGGTATAACAACCGAAGTTGCACGCGCCAACCCCTTTGAGATACGAACTTCCCCATTATAGCTCCATCGGGAGCCATTAGAACTTTGCTTACATAATAAATGACAGTACACGGTAATATAGCCAAACCTGAACATACGGTGTGCATGCTTGCTTTGGACAAACTTGAATGCTTTATCTAACTTCAACGAAATGAGTAAACACGATAATCGAACAAATTAAATTGAAAAATTTCCATCTAATCGCTTCTGTTATTTGTCCTTGTATAAAAGACTAAACTGTTTTCTATGTTACTGTATTTTTGTTTTTGTTAAAAAATTTGCAGCAATTTAAGAGAACAATCTGAAGTCTCTTGGTAACTCGCGATAGGGAAGGTGTAAAAATGACTGGTGTTTCACGGAAACACGCTAAATCAACAGTACGCGTTCAACTCTCTACAGATGTTTACGCAGGAAAACATAACAGTTACCAGCGATTCATTGCTCGCCGCGCGAATGTGCAGAAACGTTGTTCGGTGAAAAGACGACTCGAGAGTCACATTTGAGAGTTACACATCGTTTACGCGGTTTATATTGGCCTATTCGGTGTACGTCCGAGCACCGACAAAGCAGACTACTTCGTTTCTGAATATCTTTGCGTCTCAAAAGCCTCAATTATCTCATGGATGACTCGAACGTTGCATTCAAGTAGAAACAAAGACGCTTCTTTTCACCGAGAATGCTTGCACTTGCACGCTGAGACTATGTTTTTGGAGGACTAGAAATTGACAGAGACATCTGAGAGAATGGCGTATCTATCACCGAATATATACGATTCATGCAATGTATAGAGTTCAAGGAAAACGCTTAGGTATAGAATAATAAATTGACTCACCCTATCTTGGTGATTAACTTCCCATGAACATGAAGGTAGGATGTGACGAATCGTTTATTCACCTTGAACAAAATCCATAGATTATATTATGCTTGCATGATAAACGTAACCTTGTTATGGTATTTCTAAGATTTCCCTCGGTTCTCTTACCTCGACGCTACTTAATTGCGCCAAATCTTCTAAATCGCTATGAGATAATCTCGCTTCATTGGCAGTGGCTGCGGTAGTTGTACGACGAACTCGTCTCCCACCAGGATGAAACCAAATTTCCCTCCTCAATCCTCCCCCAATACTGTTCGCTCCTTCCTTTTCTTTCATCCTTGCTCTTTCCTTCCACTCTCTCTCTTCTTTCCGTTTCCGTTCCGTGGACTCATACTGTTAGAATTCATTCCACACTGAATCTCTGCACGATTATTTACATATTTCTATCGAGGGCGATCTAGTGCAGGGCGTAAATGAGAGGTCTTTTTTTTTATTTACTCTTTATCTTTTGTCTAAAAACATTGCTGTTTATAAATTTCACGAATTTTCTGTTTTTCTGTAGGGAGATGCCTTTGAAAAAAATTTGGAAACCACTGTTGTACATTTGCCATCCCTAAAGTCTCTCAAATACTACAGACAGATACAAACACTGTATGTTTAAAAATATGTAAAGCTTATAAAATGTATGTATCTTTCTGTCGATTGCGACTATAAAAAGAATGCATGCTAACGTTGTGTGTGATATGGTGCTGGTAACTAATATATACGGTGCTCTGATTTGTAGCAAATAATATAGCAATATGCGACAAACTATACTTGAGCTATACATCTTTCTATTTTTCTATAAACGCTAATGTACATATGAAGTATTACCACTTCGAATCGCTAATTATGCTATCGATTTTACTCAGGCATTTAATGATTTGGCTTTAATAGACTATAACTGTGCGAGAAATATAAATTTTATAGATTTGACTAATAATTGTAAGCGTGCGAAAATGCCTACGATGCGTAAGAAAATTAATTAAAAAAAACTGAATGTACGCAAAACGAAAAGGAGTATATTAGACAGCACAAAGATAAAGGAACTAATTCAAGCTTTAGTAATGACTGATATCTAAAGAAATCACACCAAGTATCGAAATTTACTTACATAATGTAGATACTGGCGGCAAAATAAAATTAAAATATTATTAACGTTAGTATTAATACAAACGTATTAACAAACGATTTGAACATGTGACATACCTTTTTCCTATTTTCATCGAATAGGGCTATTAAACTCTCTCTTGCAGAATGAAAAGGATTGGATGCCATAAGAGATCGCATGTAATAATATACTGCGTCTAATTTTCGTCTCTGAAAACGAAATTCACATGCAAATTACTATCATTTCTTTATCTTTCTTCGTTAAATAAGTAACTGGTGCTTTAATCGTACGTACCGCGTAATGTGCTAGTAACGCAAGCTGATTATAAGGCCTGCCATTCTTTGGATTAAGTTGTTGTGCTTTTAAATACCACCTAAAGAAAATGTTAATATAAAAATCAATTGTACTTAATAAACATAATAAAGTTGCACATTGATCGACACTCACTGCCTACACTTTCCATAATTATTCGTTTCATTTGCTTGTTCTCTGTATCTCGCCAAGTCACCCAAAAATAAATATATTTTTTGCGCGCTTACTAAAGCTAAACCTAAGATCCCGAGACCTTTAGGCAATGTTGACGATGCAAGAAATGTATCCAATTTAAATTCATATTTGGCTTCAAGAATAGTTAACAAATTTTCTAAGTATATAGTACCCTCGTCGATAATCTTCATCATTATTTTCTTGTAATGTTCCCGGCCTTCGGAACTTTCTTTTGGCATGCCTTTTCGCAACATTTCGATCATATTATAGAAAAGTATTTTCCAAAAGTGTTGCTCAACGTTCTCGGTTTGACAAAATTTAATATCAGTCTCGAGCAACGTTTTTAAACTTTCTTGCAGAAAGTGCCTTATGTACAAAACTCTATCCCAATTTGTTGTAAAACCACCGGAACTTAATATCCATTGTAACTCCTTATCAGCGCGTTCTATGTCCAAAAGCAAGTAAGGATTTTTGGCTGATCGGAAACTGGCGAACAAAAAATCATATTGATATAATTATTTTTAGTTTTAACTTGCAATATATCCACTAGTTTTACATACCTATCGGAGTAAGGATCGTACCACGAGGGTCTTGTATTACCAAATTGGTCATTTGTCATATATGGTGGTGGCACACTATCTAAGTGAGCTCCTTGAAAGCTATGATGTGTCGAAGTAATACCTCCATGGGACTGAAACACTGGCACATTCGGACTCTGAGCTGCGATTTCATTTTCTCTGGAAAAAAAGAAGATTGAACGGTCGATAAATAAAATAAAGTTACAAAGAGAAAAAAGAAAGAAACGGAAACTTATTTGTACCTTTGAATTACAGCTCTACTATTAGGTGAAGTTACAACAATAGGTTTATTAGGATTATTGGGGTCAAATAACGTCCTTTGCTGCTGCATTCCTTGCTGTCTTGAAACTGGATGACTAGGTGGAGATTGGCTAGTATCAGGTAACACTAAAACACCAGGTGGTTGGGAGTTGGTGTGCCCGCTAGATGTTTGATGTGTTGTCACATTCAAAGCTGTATTTGATAACGTTGCAGAATGAGAGGGAACATTAGGTGTTTGTCGTCCATCGTCGGAATCATAAGCCGACATTTTTCTTCCTGTTCTCCAATTTTCATCTAAACACCGATCGGACAATCTGTAAAAATACATATATATAAGTAAACCTAACCTCTAGTTATATTTGCCCGATTCAAAATGTCGCCTTCGTAAAATAATATCTACCTATGTCTATGGAGGTCATCGAAGTTTCGACTGCTACCACGGTAATTCCTATCTTTACTAGATTCCCGACTACGTTGTATAATATTGTGATGCCTTCTGTGTTCGTATCTTCTACTGCTATTACTGTTCTTTTGATTATTGTTATAGTTATCATTTTCTCTATTTTGTTGGTTATTTTGTCGATCGCGACTATTAACTCGAGCTTTATCTCTGCTACTGCTCCTTGAATAGTATAAAGAAGAAAGTTATTGCAAACTACGCTACTCTTAAAATATATATAAGTGCAGATTGTTTATACACACGAAACAGAAATACTAATACGCTCTTACCGATCTGCTGCATATTTCCTATCACGCTTTTTTTTTTTACGTCGATTAGAACCTCCCGTCGTGGTTTCATTTCCTGACACATTAACATTCTCACGCAAACTTAACACAGAAGAACTGCGACTCGCACGTTCAGCTTCTAATTTTTCATTTAATTCAACTTCTTCGTTCCAATCCTAAATATTGAAATTTAAGCGTGATGTATACGCAAATAATAAACATCTTTCGTACAGAGACACTTACAAATGGATGGTCGGCCGATGTATTTGATTCGGTGTTAACAGACTCGGCTTTTGGTGGACTATCGCCTAAATTTTGTTGACTGCTTTTCTTTTCCAATGTTGCATTATGCTCGGATGCATTATTGCTCGTCCGTTGCCTGTAAACAGAACGAATAACAAGATAATAAATAAAAATATTAGAATTGTTAAAACACATCTTAAATCGATTATTACGTATGAGTTCGGTGAGTAGATGAAGATGGAGATACTCCCCGACGATGACTATCGGGTGAAGTTTGACGTTTGTTTACATTGGATACCGAAGTAATAGGTGACACTGCCGGTGGTGGTGGCATCAAAGAAGTATCAGCTCGGCTTAAACTTTCCATACTAGTATACATGGTGCTGTTACTACCACGACGATCATAAAACCTGTTTTCCACAAACATTTAATTCTATTTAAAAACATTTACATAAAGTAACTTATTAATATTTACATAGCACAGTAGAATAAGAAGAGGACATTGTACAATATAAAACTTAGTTGTAAAGTATATATTCAGAAAAGAGATTTACCTTTGCATATATTCTTGGCTTGGTGTATGAGACCTAGAACTTGGAGCCGAATACTGATCGGGTGTAACGCATCTGAAAATATTTGTTGAACTCTCTAATTCTTCTGGTCTAAGTCTACCTCTACCTCTGCTACGTGCTGACCCAGTATTGGACCAGTTAGGTTGAGGAGGCAATGGGCCAGATGGAGGTAAATTTTGCATCGTTTGCGAATGTTGCATCACAGGTGGATAATTGTAATTTGATGATCCCTTCGAAGAGCAAGTTTATGTTTAAAGAATGCAACGAAAACTATACTGCAATTCCAAAGACGATAAAATATGATTTAATTTACCTGAAACGTGATACTACTACCATTCCATGAATCTTCTGGTGGCAATGAATTTGTTGATGGCAATGGTAAACCATTATCGATAAGATATTTTTTCTGAAACCTGGGTGGCAAGTGTTCTATTTTTATATTTTTTGGTAAACTATCTTTTGCATTACCCCATTTGCCTGAAGGTGGTTTGCCTTGGAATTTATCTGGATGTCCGGCAGGTTCGACGCTACGTGTATCTCTGGTGCGATTGAAATCATTGACGTGGTTCATTGTTACGAAAAGTGGTTCTGAACCCTAAACAAATAAATATTGCCAATTAAAACGCAATTATAATTCTATAATTTCGACTACTATGATTATTACCAACCTGTCTAACTTCGCGAGAATTATCTTTCCGATTTCCGTAACCCCTGTTAGACAAAGGGGAGTCAGATCGCCAACGCTCATCGTTCTCATTACCGTGACGATTTCGACGATTTCCCGAATATCGTTTGCCATGATCATCTCTACTTTTACTTCCGCTTTCATTATCTCGTTTACTGTGACCACTTGATCGATTACGATGACTATCGCTTTTATGGCTACGATTAGAATGAGAATCACGATCTTCGCTAAGTTCTCTGTCTTGATCCCGATCCCGATCCCAACACCTTTGATTCGGAGATCTAAGGAACAAGGATAATAATATTTGTACTCTGTGCACAGTTTATCATTAATAATAAAGCAAAAACATTTTCAAAAATTCACCTATTTGAACTATCCTGTTCAGCCAATGCTTCTTTTACTTTTTTAGGTATATATAACTGTTGTTCCGGCTTCTTAGTTTTCTTTCTTAAATCTCCTGAATTACTATTTTGAGAAGAACTCGGTATCTGTTCAATGTTTGTAGTATTTCTGTAGTTAATGTTTAGATCGTTTAATTTTTCTGTTACATTTTCAACTTGAGATGATGGCAGACTGTTCAGCATTTGATTGGATCTATTGAGTTGCGATTGCTTCAAACGGTGTTGGACGGAGCTAGACTTAGGTTTTTCCTGCGAAATGTTCTCATTATCTAAATCGTCTACAGATCTCCCAGACTTGCGAAGTGGTCCGCTTCCTGGCCTATACAAAGCTTGAGATGCTCTATTACCACCACCACCACCACGCATTCCCATCGATCTGTCCTTCTCCACTCTTGTATTATCTGAAATTTTGTAATGTCTAGCTTTTAAAATTATTTATCAACATTAAAAACATATAACATAAAATAAACATATTTTAAAAACATTAACATATAAGGAATTCAACAAGACTACAAATCTATATTTACTTCAATTATATAACATGTTGCAATCATTTACAAGATATTGCAATTAGAAATATATATGAAATTAAAAATATAACGTTAAGAAAAACGTATGTGACTCAAAATTATTATTGTAACATTGTACATAGTTTTCTTAGCATAACATTATAATATTGAAGTTTAAGCATTAGTAACGTACTAATGTTCAAAATGTTGTAATTTTTAACAGAAAAATAGTAAAAATGTTGGATGTTATCCAATAATAATTTATATAAAATGACATGAATAAATAATTCCTAGTAAAAACCAAAGCACATAGAAAACATACCTTTCTATCTAAACAAAAATATTAAAAACTTATAAAATCCTATAAATTATGTATTTATACATCATTGCATAGCTTTTATTACAAATTTTACTGAAAAGCAACTGAATTTCTTATGAAGAATATTTGTACGTTCAATATTTTTTACATATATTACTTGTTGGATTTTAGGTGCAAAATGACGAAACTCTAGTTATATATAATTATCAAATGTCAATATTAAGTAAACATTATGCTTAATTGAGAATAATAATTCAGTAGTGGTTGTTGACACTCTTGACAGTAACTACAGTTACAATCAACTCACAAAAATTAGATGTAATAGTTATGTAATCTATATCTGTTTAAAATAAATTCACATCTTCTAGAGGAGTCTACGAGAAATTATAGGCTATGCTAATTTTACTTCTTACTCAGGTAAAATTTCACAACATATCATAGCATAATTCCTGCTGTATTTTTAGGTTAGCTTGTTTGGTGAGGTTAGTTCTACGAATGCACTCGACATTATTACAAGGATGCATACATGTTTATTAATTATGCACACGCGAAATATAATCATAGAATTGTAAATTAAGATGTTTATATTATTTGTTAATATCATTTTTTCCAAGGTACCTTGTAAAAATCCTCCCCACTTTCTGCGTCCTTTGTCGCGGTTCGCCATATTGAAGTACAATCATATCAAAATTTTTCTAACATCAACGAACACGATTGTACGGAACTTCTAATCATATATACAGTCAATAAATGAAACTGAACGAATGATATCAATAACTGATAGGGTAAACATAATTATCTTAATCCTTTATAAATCATAAAATACTTCAAAGCGACATTTTCTATTCTCTGCATACAAGTTGCCACAATTTGAGTAATTCAATATTTTATTGTTACGAACATTAGGAACCTAAAAAGACATACTATTCAACTGTAGAATATTCTTTCAATCAGATAATCTATAATTATTAATAGTGAAATTTAGATGTATTTAAAAACAATTTCAACGTATACAAAATTCCTTTTTGCTTGAAAAAGTACATGGTAATATATTCAAAATTTCCTACAATTAAACAATATCTTGTAATGTTAAATAATCAAACATATGGGAACTGAATAATAAACTACTGCAATATTTATGGCGCCAATATGAAAACCACGAGGAATCGTTTCAAATAACTATCTTTCAAAATAAAAAGTACTAGAGATAAACCTATATTGCACGAATACATAAACAGTTTATCATTTCTGATAATTTGCTACAGATTAATTACGAATAAGAGTAAGTTAGTCTTGCTCCTAGCTAGAAAGAATCAACTGTTTAAATTAAGAATTAAGTCCACACTAGGGATTATAAGCCTTAACGCTATACTGTTTGGCCGGACTTTTAATGCACCGTATGAACAAAGTGTTTCCATTAAAGATTTACAAAGATAAATTGAAAATACATGTTTATTATTAATTCATGTATTAAAAATGAAACTAAAAGACATTTCTATCAAATATAAAATGCAGAATTTCTTTCCGCAAAAGGTGATGATTAATAGTGCATAACCGTAGAATATAACATTTTTTAAAGCTTCCAACCTTACCAGTCAAATGTTTACTCCACTTGCTTGTATTAATCGTACGCTAACAACCGCTGCAAGATGCAAACGGCGGGTGGTAGTAACAGGAATAGGAATATTATGTCCTCTCGGAATTACTACACAAAATGCCTGGAAAGCTCTCATTAACTGTAAATCAGGTGTTGTCGGATTAACTGAACCGGATTACGAAAAACTACCTTGTAGAATTGGTAAGTTCTTCTCACAAACTTATAGCTTTTCTCAAATAACTTAACTAACTCCAGTTTCTTGTGTACAACAAATAAATTTAATTATTTTTCGATAGCTGCATTAGTACCTAAGGGAGACGGTCCTAATGAATTAAATATTGATTCACACTTCACGAAAAGTGAATTACGCACAATGTGTCCTGCCACTGCTTATGCTCTGATTGCTACTGAACACGCGCTAAACGATGCTAAATGGAAACCAGAAAATGAAACGGATAAACAAGATACAGGAGTAGCTGTAGGAATTGGAATGATAGATTTGGTCGATGTGTGTACAACGTACGAAGCCTTGAAAAAAGGGTACAATAAAGTCAGTCCGTATTTTGTGCCAAGGATTTTGCCAAATATGGCTGCAGGACAAATTAGTATTAAATATGGCTTTCGTGGTCCAAATCATTGTGTATCGACAGCATGTGCAACCGGAGCACATGCAATTGGTATATTAAATTAAAATAAAAGTAGAAAATGTACGTTTGCTGTACAATGAAATTAATAGATTCAACTTTTAGGTGATGCATTTCGCTTTATCCGCGGCGGGGAAACTAGTGTAATGATATGTGGTGGTGCAGAGGCATGCATCAGTCCTCTTGCTATAGCTGCTTTCTGTAGACTTCGAGCTCTAAGCACTTCTAGGAATGATTTTCCACATGAAGCGTCGCGCCCGTTTGATAAAGACAGAGATGGATTCATAATGGGAGAAGGTACTGCGATACTAGTGCTGGAGGAATTAAATCATGCACTTGCAAGGAATGCAAATATTTATGCGGAAGTATTAGGATATGGTTTGTCTGGTGATGCAGCGCATATAACTGCACCCAGTGAAGACGGTTCTGGTGCTATATTAGCTATGGATAGAGCGGTAAAAGATGCTGGTATAGAAACTATGGAAATTACTTTTGTCAGTGCACATGCAACTTCAACTCCCCTGGGTGATGCTATAGAAGCAAAAGCTATAGAATCGTTTATGGGGCAACATAGTAAAAACGTGACTGTTTCTAGTACAAAAGGGGCTCATGGTCACTTATTAGGAGCAGCAGGAAATTTAGAAGCTGCTTTTACTGTTTTAGCAATAAAAGAAGGTATAATCCCGCCAACATTGAATCTGCATAATTTAGATATAAAAACATCTTTAAATTTTGCACCAAATGAAAAAAAAATGTGGAATTCCGTGCCGAGACGTGTAGCTTTAAAAAATGCTTTTGGTTTTGGAGGAACAAATGCATGCTTGTGTTTTGCAGAATATAATGAATAACCCAATTATTAAACTGAAACTATTTTGAGAAAAAGCATAATAATACACAACATATCCTGAACTAGTCATTCCTTCAGATACATTAATTAATACATACATCGCATTTACAGAGATTGTATATGCATAATGTTGCTCAACTAAAATATAGTTTTGTGATAAACCATATTCGAGACCTGGAATATGATCATAATGGCATAAATATTTTTATCATATTTATGTAATATAAAACATAACTCTTATAATATACTGTGTAAAAAATAAAAAAAAAAGGAAAACTTTTATATGAAAAACCGTTACATCGAACTGTACAAAATGTATGTAATTTGGAATAATATAATATATTGTAAAATGCAATGTTTATTTTGTATTCATTTTTTTTAATATTTTCCGATCATATTATTACAACATCTATATTCATTATGCAGAAAAACAAGTTCCAACTGCTACTTCCAAAAAAATAAAATTCTCTTAAAAGTATGTAGTAATTAATGAAATTATTATTTTATACAATTGTTAAATACGTGCAGTTGATTTTAATTTGCGGTTTTCTGGCTAATACGTGCTCATAAAAATTACGTTTAATTATACAAGCATACAGAAGTAAGTCTCACGTAACTCTGAATACCAATATAATACATTCTATAGAGTATAAATTTAATAGTTTATATTTTCTTGAGTGCAGTTTTCAGAGTTAACACTTGACTTTCGATTCTAAATTTCATTCATTTACAATTACAATTTTCATCTACAAAGTTGTCTTTTATTTTTATGAATTGAGCCGCATAGAAAACAACAAAATTCAAGGCATAGTTATTTCTTGGTACCTCTAGTTTATTAGACGCAGTTTACTGCTTGCAGATAAACCATACCATACGATGTTCTTACGATGTACATCTCCAACGATATTTTATTCACACAGGAAGGTTGACCTCCAATGATAACAGTTATCCAAAATACATCTATTGCGTTCGTGTTTCTACTGGCAGTAAATCAATGTAAAAAAGAAAGATTGTATCCTATTAAGTAACTGTACCTAGTAGGAATTTTTAGTTAGGAATGGTAAAGGGTTTGTGATGGCTACATAAAATAGCAAAACGTTTTCTAAGTGTCTGACGAAGTTCTTGCCGTTTTTCAAGAACTTGACACATTCGAGATTTAAACTCCAACACTTCCTCTGCCGGAATATAACTCTCTTTTTCTTCGTCATCTGACAAGTAGGAATCCTGTAAATAAATGAAATACATTAAAAATAAAAAATTTTCAATAAAAATTCAACTATACACAAACTAAACGCTTACTTCTAACATCTGTGTAAGCGTTAAGCCACCACCTCTTTCCTTTAGTAAAGAGATGCTAGTATTGGAATGAACAAGTTTATCAGATGGTCGCGTATCATGACAATCTTTCTCGTGGTTACAACAACCATCACTGCAAGCTACTTCCGACCCTTCTGGTGTACTAGGAAGAGAAGAACTACTAATATTATGTTCCGAGGAATAACCACAATCTTGTGACGATTGTTCACTCGAAGAACGACTCTTCCTGTCCGAGATTGATAATTCGAAACGTTTCTCCATTTCTATCCACATATTGTATCTTTTGCCCGGTTTTGCTATCCAAGCGTCTACTATTTCTTTAGTTATTGGATCTTTGCAGTTTTCTACACTATGCCAGTGATCATCTTCAATTTTCTCGGAAAGATCCTATACATAGAACGATTTGTATATCTTATAAAACGCGTTGAAAGATACATAGAACATGTACTCATATACTGAATTATTACCTTACACGATTCACATGTTTCAAATATTTCTTCTTTGGAAAGATTCTTAACAGAAGTGTCATTCTTCTTTGATTGATTTGTAGTAACTTTTCCTTTTGATTCGGAAGACCCTTTTTTAACTGTATTTTTTTGCAAGTTAGATGATTTTTTGGGGAATGCTAACTGAGTTTGACTTTGTGATATACTAGATTTTGATTTCTTTATACAATCTGGACAATTACATGTAGGTGGTCCCTTATTTTTTGGATCTAATACTTGTAACTGAAAGAGAAAAAAAGGAATATTTGTACACTGCTAAATACATATACATATACATAAATACAATTAAATGCAATATTAAAGTTATTTACTTTATGTCTGTCTATATTTTGTGTTGTGGGCTTTGCATCTGCACAAACACACAGCGTTTCACTCTTACCATTTTGCCTTTTACTGGAACACTGAGGGATATAAAATTAAATAAGAAATTAATTACATTCATTAGTTTCAAAAGTTCGAATTGATAAACGGCAACATACATCGCAAGTATTTTCTTTTTCTTCTGTCTCATATCGGCGTTCTTTCTTCTTCTTGCGTTTCAGGCGTAACTTTTCGCGTCGTTGTTGTTTTGCTATTTCTTCCCTCGTTAATTCCTCATATAGGAGTTCTAGTTGAGAAATACCTTGTTTAACTTCTATAGCCATCTGTGAAGAACCATTTAACCGTATACAATAACTTGATTAATTCAATAGTAGTTTATACACTGGTTTTATTAATTATACTTGAAAATTTCTGGCCAATGCATCTACTGCAACAGCAGCTAATACTTTGCATACGGTTTCCTCCTCTCTTAATCGTCGATGAACCCTATGTAAACGCTCAGCAACACAAATTCCTAAACATGTAAGTACCTCTTCCTGAGCAATTTCTAATGTCTTTGCATGTCTTTCCCTGCAATTCAAACATCGTTCTTATGACAATATTCTAACACAAAATTGTAAATAACCAAAACTTTGTGAGTCCATACCTTCCCATAAGTTCTGGTTGAGCACGCTCGATTAGAGTACTAATGTAAACTGTGTTAGTAGGTAAATGTACGTGTCTATCACGTATGCAACGTTTGATCCCGGAATATAGAGCAGCAACGTAGCCCTTTTCTTTTGTTGGTTCAGGTTCTGTTGTTAATAAAGAAGATGCCAATAGTACTTTTGTACGACATTCACCGCAGAATCTGTAACAACATATGTAGTGAAAAGTCTTTGAATTTAATTACTCAAATTCATGAACTTACCGATGTTTACGTAAATATATATCCAAAGTAGCTTCAAGGGTGTCAGTTTCTATTAGAGCAAGTTCCTGGCGGCATGGAAGTTCCATACAATCCCATACTTCCCTCCATGCACTTGGAAGGGGTCTCATACGCTGAATTTCCAGTGAGTGTAATACGCATCTTCTTGACTTTTTATTTCTAGGTTGCCTTTCGACTAAACTATTTAACCTAATGCTGTGACGAACAATAAAATTTTTGTATATTTCACGTATATATGACAATTGTATTTCTATGGGCCCTTTATTACCTATGTCCTTGTATCATTGTACAAAGTAATTGAGGTGATTCCAAAACATCATCTTTTATTGATAATATACCTTCGGGTGTGATTACTAAAGGATCTAATGCTGGATGTCCTGACTTCATAAGATCATAGAACAATCTTTCAACACTAAATAGATAAAATATTAATTAATGCAAACCATGAATATGTTTGTTATACACACATGTTCTAAGAATTTCTTTTACCTTCTTCTACAACCAACACATGGTACAGATTGACCTAAAATTGCAAGCATGTCCTTGCATGTAATTTTAAATGACGCTTTTATTTCATCTTTCGTAAGCATATCAAGTATTATAGTAAATTCATCAAGCCGTTTGCCACGCGCTAATGGATTATCACAGATTGCTCCCAAACCGTTTATATCCATAATCATCTATAGAAGAAGCCAAAGTTTATAGTGCTAAATTTAATTTATTTATTGCTCGTTTAAAAATTAAATCTAAAACATTTTCCAAATTTCTCATTTAAAACATAATACCAATATGTTAATTCTACACATATTAACACACATATACAAGCAAAGCATATATTTTAAAAAAATATTATATACGTTATGTATTCTTATATATTGAAAAGAAAGTTCACTACCTCACAGTTAATAGCTTTTAGTTTTAAGTTTTCACTCCATGTGCTCAATTGCAACTAACCAAAGTATATAAAAAAAAAAGACAGCTTTTGACATTCTTTTTTTCAAAAGAAAACAAATCACTCCAAAATTATAACAATAGGACAAATACACAAAGGAATCGTTAATAATACCGAGAAACATAAATTGTATCGAAAATCGATGGTCAGCAATTGTTAAACAGGATACAGGTATTAAACACAATACGCCTAATCAGTTATGCCAGTTAGGCATGCATTCGTTGCTACGTTTAGGTTAAGTCGGAAATATCATAGGATGCCGTTACGTAAGTCTTATTAACCTGTTAGTTATTGATAGACAATAACTGTGTTTTAAAAATACCACTGTAAAGGATTCAGCTCACCGTGAGATTTTCATCGACAATCAACGGCATTTGCCTTCGCGTCAAATCGACCGGGTCATCGTCCCGCCAAACGTTCACCAGTTTCGCCATCGCAGTTGTATTTCTCTATCAACGACAATTATATATGCAACAACGTTAAATCTTATAAAGCGATACGATGTAAAATGACGAATAATTGTAATCCACTGCCACGGTTACACCAGAAAAATAAGTAGACGGTATCATACGTCTGCCATTTGCAACGAGTGGTTTCTCACTTCCGCCCTGCGTGCATTGTCCCGCTTCCCTCTCTACGCACCATCCTATCCTTATACTAATTACACATACCTGTTCCTAATCTCTTTTCTCATGAAATCTTCTCCGGTACAAAGTCTCAAAGTCTAACGAGTCGCGCAAAAGCTTTGATATGACTACAGGTATCCTAATTAAATGTAGTATCTTCTCAAACGGAGCTTGATACACTCATCCACAGGCAAGAAGACGCAGCAGCAGAGTCGCGGATTTCAACTAACTTTTTTTTTGGTAAATCTAGGACGAAATTGAGGGTATACGTGTTCGAACGTTTCTGCCAATGCGCATTATTTACAAAGATATTTATCGTTAATGATTTGATGAAGGTGTGCATTGACTACTTAAAACAAGAAAGAAGGTATAGTATGCCAAGTTGGCAAAAGAGGTAGCGTAATAAGTTCGAAAGGCGGCGATGTTCGTGCGTTCGAATTTTTTAACTTTATATTACTTTTCCCACAATGGCTTCCGTTTAAACATTATTTCTTTAACAATTAATATCGTTTATTGTTTTCACGACGATGTTCTGAATATTACTATTTACTTACAACGATATCATTTTATTGAACAATTTTTACAATAGAATACCAGACATAAAATAGATCCGATAGGTACCTTATATTGCAATAAATTATTATAACATCGTAAAAATAAAGAAGATACAAATGTTCAATAGAATGAGAAATAAAGTGTTAAAATCGACAATCCTACTACTGTTATATTTAAATGTGTATCTAATAAAGGACATACGTATGTGTGCATACATCTATGTTATGCACCTTTATATAAACTGTCACACTTTTACGTAATATTAAAACGTTATTAAAACAAATAATGTTCAACGTATTAAAAACCTTTTATACAGCCCGCCGTTTCATTTAAAGGTGTCTACCAGCATCTGCAACTGACGTGACAGAACTATAGTAAGAAATCTTTCCAAAAATATTCTTACATTCGTTTAAACGACAGTTTTTCTCTTTGTGCTTTCTTCACGAGAAGACTTTACAAAAACTATGAGTGCATACTGCATGTAGATATGATAAATAAGAACATCCTGATACGTTCGACAGTTGTGTTAAATATATATCAAAAATTCGTTATACAAAAGTTTGAATAATTATATTAACAATACCGTTCCTAACTTTCTTCATTATTCATTTTAGCACTTACGATATACAAAATATTTTTATTGTAAACATAATAATTTTATTAACGAATGTTATAAAATAGAGAAATTATGTTGACTAAGTACGTTTGGTTATTGCCACTGTTCGCATCTATTTGTTTACTATACTCGTACGATTATCTATACGAAATAAAATTTAATTGTCTACAAAAAGGATTAAACATCATTGATAGTATTTATTCTAGTTTGAATATCAATTCAGATTCAGTTTCAAAATTTAACACAGAACAGAAAGTATTTACACAAAATCAACTCAAGAAATATACAAACTTGAAAGATGGTTTGTATATTTCAATCTTGGGGCAAGTTTTTGATGTTACAAAAGGTGCAAAACATTACGGGCCTGGTGCAAATTATCATGCCTTTACTGGTATAGCTTATGATAAGATTGTATACGTAATAATATTTGTACAATGTATAAAATACAGATGTTTATAGGCCGCGATGCATCCTTGGCCTTTATTACAGGGGAGTTTAATGATAAAGGCTTAACAGATGATATCTCTTCGTTATCTGTGCAACAAGTTAAGGCATTGAACGATTGGGTACAATTTTATAATGAGAATTACATTTACAAAGGTATTTTTAACATCATCTCTAATTGCATATAATTATGAATCGGTGGATTATTTCATTTTCAACTGTTTTTCTTTTTGCACAGGAAAATTAAATGGTAGATATTATGACGAAGATGGTACTCCAACCAAAGAGTTTCATAGCATACAAAGAATATTAGTACAAGCCAAAGAAAAGCAATTTGAAGAGGAGAATAAAAAAAGAATGTTTCCGCCGTGTAATGTAGAATGGAATCCAGACTCTGGGACTACAGTATGGTGTTCTAAAAGAAGGTATATATACAAAAAAATTTCACTTCATTAAAATTATTAATATTTTTCTTTTTTCAGTGGAGGAATAGAAAGAAATTGGATCGGTGTACCAAGAATGTTATTTGAATCTTCAAATTTCAAACAATATAGGTGTGCATGTGTTAAACTTGATAGCGAGGAGTTTGAGGAGACCAAAGGTATGGTCAGAGAATATGATGGATGTCCAAAAACTGCAATAAAATGTGCTGTGAAAACAAATAATTTATAGTAATCAGAGACATAATATTAAGTTGTAAATAGAATGACCGTTTTTTAAATTTTTATTTCAAACTTATTATGTATTTTTCTAATCCAAATAATCTCCATTAACTTTGACATACCTTCATCACAGTACAAACGTACGAATGCTTTTCTGAAAGACATTTTAAATACGAAAAGTAATAAATTCGTACAATGTAAATTTTATATGTAATCTTTACTGAAACACCCTTCCCGACAAAACGCTACTTAAATATTTGAAAAAATGATGAGTGTAAGAGAAAACCTCGTATTTTAATTCTGTTAACTTACTGTTTTGCAACATCTGGCCAAGTATTGTTATGCAGCAATAACACTGTGCCTGTTGACTAATATTGATTGTGTAATACGCAAATTTTCCGCACATTGTATCAATTTCTTGATAAATGAATATTATTTCTAATCACATACAGTGTACAGTGTACACAAAATTACATTTATTTACGTGCGAGGTATACATTTTTCAAAAGGAACGAATATGGCACCATCTACAAAGTAAAAGGCGGAAAATCTAAATTGTGAAAAACAATTATTTCATTTAGAAGAATGCGATATAATGAATTTATGAAATTATAATATATTGTTGCGTGTTGAAAACTAATAATTTGTTATATATTTTTATACAGCAATACAATTGTACATACTTGGTGATACAAAATATATTATATTTGTAAAAAAAGAATACATTATAGTAATTTGTTATTTTAATTATCAGAAACCGTAAGATTTTAAATAAATATTTATAGCATTTTATTATTTCATTAGTTTCTTTTTAATTCGTGTCATTTTATAAGTTTATTCATACTCAAGATGTACTTTACAACACAACATTAAAATTTGCAAGCAAGTCTACAATAGGCAAATGGTATACAATACATTATTTAAATACAATGATATAAATGCACTAAAAAAATAATTAAGTAGAGACTTATTATATATTCGAATATAAAAATTGTTATTAAGACATATTTCTTTTGGTAATACTTGTCTTATTATATAAATACACGGCAGTGCATTTATAACACAACCTGTATTGTGTTAATGCCTTTCCTCGATGTTTCAGTGATATGATGTAACAAGAAAACAGATTCCCTTGTTGTAGAATTCCTACCATCATAACTACTTTGTACAATTTTCAAAAATCTTGCAACAGATTGAAAAATAGTACCATATTAATGGTTTGTCTTTTCACTTTGTTTCACTATCAATTACCGCTGAAGACTCTGTTCCAGCAATATTTAATTTATTAATCATCATCTCTATAGATGGACTTTTTCGTCCGGAGGGTGTGTCTTGAAATTGTATGGTGCTATATCTTTTTACACTCATATGTGTAAAATTCTCACTAATGCTATCTTTTTCTTCGTGAATGGTTTCCAAGTTTGCTCTTTTCCTGAAACTCTTGAAACTCTTCTTTGGATATTTCTTTGGAAATTCTACCTTATGTACTGGATTCCATTTGATCGTCTCTGTACACAATCTTTTTCTTGGTTTTAAACTGCATCTAATGATACGTGTAAAGAAATTTATTCTTTTCATTTAATTCTTTGTTTACATAATTTTTAATATATTATTATACCTTCTCTTAAGACTTTCAGTCAATTCAGATATAGATATATCCCTTTTGATCTTATTTTTTGCTGTTAAATAAGAAGCTATTTTGTACACTTCTAAAGTAGCCAGTGCCGCTGGCACAGTATTATCGACTACAGCTTGTGTCATTTTTCTGAAGAAATTAATTTACATTAATAATAAACTAAACTTTTTAAGAACTACACGACTGAAAAATATTTATATGCTTTCTATAAAATAAATTCAGGGAAAATAACAGATATGACTTAAAGAAAAAGGTCTTAATATTATATTCTTTTGCTAATTTATTTATTTAAAAAAAAAAATAGCTTAAAAATATTGGCAACGGAGACACGAATATACATAAATATTTATAAAATATATGACCAAAAACGTCTAAACATGCAATTCTTGGAAAACTTACTTTGTATCAGATTGTGGTTCGTCCATTTGGAAAAACTAAAATATTTATACGTTTAATTTAACATTACTTAAAAATATCATTAACCTGTTATATATTGTACAACGTATGTACATTAAAAGTATTCGATAAACAATTTTAAAAATATGATACATTCAGCATACCCATGTATATTACAAATTTTCAATAGGTTCAAGGAAATGATTTTCTTGAAATCTAACATCCACAATGCCCTCGAAGTTTTTACGATTTGTAGCTTATTTACATTATTATAAGGTATAGTAGAAAGTATGCATCGATATAAAATTGTTATTTATCTGTTGAGAATGTAACACACTTGAATATAACACATGTTCGTCAAGACAATTACAAACAATAATGCTTTGCGATCGTCGGTTTTTTTTTTGTCAATCTTCCATCAGTCTCACCTTTCACTATTAAACTTCAAACTGAAGAGTAACAATCACTAACAACTAGCAACGACTCTCTCTTCCCAAGAATTATACACGCATACACTGCACACACTGTGATTTGTTTTGTTCTAAACTGTTCGGAAGCTCAGAGAGAAGGAAATAAAACGCGAGAAAAATGGAAATGTATATACTCACCATAGTGACATCTGTGCACTGGCTCATCATCTCGTGCATTCTCCGTTCTTCTCTGAAAGAAACCTAAAACCTAAAACAGTAAAATACTGAACCAGTGTGTGGAGTCTCAGCTCAGCTGCTACGTACAACCAATGATTGAATAGCAAAGTCAATGATGCCGCGTCTCAATGTTTGTTTGCGTACTACTTCTACGGAAAGTCTGGTTTTAATGTATTAAAATGTCATAAATATTTACGTGTACAGTTGACTTTTATGGAATACAGAAATACAGTATTTTCTCTATGTAAGCTCGGAACTCGTCCACGATATAAGCAAATATCGTATCCCCTCTACTTATCCCCACTGCGTACCGTTAGAACTCAACACCCGCTGTACCGGCGAGTGTGTGCCTTCCTAAGGGCGGTTCCCTAAGATAGCGGCGCGCTTGACGTGTCGGTCGTCGAACATTGTCATACGATACGGGTTCAAATTACTAAGGCAACACTAGTGCAATGATACAAATTTTTTATTTTTCCTTTCCCTGTTTTGAGACTTTTAACATGTCTGTGGCAGTTTTCTGATTTAACTAAGATGTTTAACCTCTACCAAGAGGAATTAAAACACCGATTTCGAATAGGCTCGCGTAAACATCGCCTGTGTTTCGCTACGGCCGACCCGAAGCGAAGTAAGCGATAGCAAATTCGGCAATGCTCGGTCGCTCAGTCCCTCTTTGTCATATGCTCGCTGTTCTTTTCTACACTCGCCGCCTCCAGTAGACGTCAACAAAGTATCAAGAATTGTTTCTCGTCCACGCTATAGCCGAGCGTTGAACCTCGAGAGCGTCACTTTTATAGAGACAATACTGTAATTGCAAGTTGATCAAATAGATCAGTGGAAGCAGATAAATGGAGACATGAAGAAAGAAAGAACGGCCGATAATAGCCGACCATATAAATTATAAGTATTTTCGTGTCTTCTATAGCAAATAAAAGCCACTAATTACGATTGACATACAAACAAATAAAACTTGTACTTGTAGAAATACTAAAATTTATTAAATATTCTAAAGGGAGATTCATAAACGCATAATTTCAATTCATTTTAAGTTTCTGTATTAAGGTTATATTTACGAACTTCTGTATTTACAATGTTATTTTGTAACGTTAAATGTAATTTTCTTGCAATAATAAAAACGTTTATTTAATATTTTATCGTATTTATAACAGTATTGATTTAATATTTTTTTAATATTTCAAGGCTCACCAAATAGTGAGTCTCACAGGTATAAGTTTCCAGAGGAAAAGTATTATTGTAAGTGTAATAATTATTCTTAAAAAGAGTTATTGTATGTTTTATATCACAAGTATGTTCTTTATGTGCAGGGCTTTGTGGAATTGACAATTGTTCCACTTAGGGATACATTGAGACTTATAAAGCTTAATGCAAAACAATGTAGAATTTATAGAGTATGCTTGAATGATACTTATGAGGCACCATTTCAATATTTTGATCCATTTTTGGATATATGCCAAGGAGATGGAAAACAGTAAGTACTCCTTTGGGGAAATATATGAAGCATTTTTATATGATGAAAGCATAATTTATATAGAATCTGATAAATTTGATTACCTGATATGCCTTATATAATATAATACATTCACATTATGTTCTTGCAGAAGATCATTGGAATTTTTTTCAAATATGCATTTGGCAGCAGCACAGAGGGTTGATCCAGACAATAATGCAGGAGAGTTAGTTGTGCAAATCCCACCAGATGCAGCACATCTAGTTGCTGAAGGTAGAAGTTTAAGAATTAGTATAGAATTTTCTTTGGAACAGCCACAAGGTGGAGTACATTTTGTTGTACCAAATTGTGAAGGAACTTTAGCAGAGGTAGAATAAATTTATTACATTTATATAAATACTGTTTTTAAGTGCTTAAATATATTCCTATTTTTTTAGAGAGGTGCACATATGTATACATACAGTTATGAAAATTCTTCAAGACTATGGTTCCCATGTGTTGATAGTTTTGCTGAACCGTGTACTTGGAAACTGGAATTCACTGTTGATGATTCCATGACAGCCATTTCTTGTGGTGATCTTGTAGAAGTTGTATATACTCCAGACATGAGGAGAAAAACATTTCATTATGTTCTTAACACACCAGCATGTGCACCAAATATTGCTCTTGCAGTTGGGTAAGCAAATTAATACAGTATTTACAATAAAGAGAAAATCATAATTTTGTTTACTTATATGAAATTTAATGACTTATTTTATTTTTGTAGGCCTTTTGAAATATTTGTAGATCCATATATGCACGAGGTAACACATTTCTGTTTGCCTCAATTATTACCATCATTAAAAGTGTCTGCAAAATACATGCACGAAGCGTTCGAATTTTATGAAGAAACATTGTCAAATAGATATCCTTATTCTTGTTACAAACAAGTCTTTGTAGATGAACTAGACGAAGATATCAATGCATATGCTACTATGAGTATTTTAAAGTAAGTAACGTTAATAAATAATTTTAACATTAAGTATTTAAATATTCAGTAAGAATTATGAATTTGTTCGTTTACAGTACAAATTTGTTACATTCTACCGCGATAATCGATCAGGTGTATGTCACAAAAAAAGCCATGGCACAAGCTGTCGCGGAACAATTTTTTGGTTGTTTTATATCTATGCAAAATTGGTCTGACACATGGTTACCAAAGGGTATATCAACATATTTAACTGGTTTATATGCAAAAAAATGTTTTGGAAATAATGAATACCGGGAATGGGTCCAATCGGTGAATAACATTCTTTTTATTCGCGTATGTTGATGCAAGTTTATTGGAGCCTAACATTATTAATGCTTTCAGGAATTACAAGAAGTTGTGAAATATGAAGAGCTGTTTGGAGGCATAATATTAGATTCTTCTCAACCACCAGCTCCATTACCTATTGCAGCTAACACACCAGCGCCCACGCCAAGGGCTCCAGATCCTGGTTTTTATTTTCCAATAAGAAATCTTCACACAATGTCCCCAAAGTACATCGAAGTACTTCGCAAGAAAGCGCATTTAGTGATTAGAATGTTAGAACATCGAATTGGGCAAGAATTGCTTTTACAGGTGCATATTAGTATTTTAAGTAAATTCTTCTAATCTTTTTGAAGCGAATTAAAATTCATTCCACTACCTCTTAGGTTTTTAATAAACAATTATCCCTTGCTGCTAATGCCGCACAACAGAAAATTGATTCTGGACTTTGGTCTCACATGTTGATTAGTACAAATGTATTTACAAAAGCGATCTTTACCGTGACAGGAAAAGATATGGCAGTGTTTATAGACCAGTGGGTCAGGACTGGTGGGCATGCAAAATTTAGTTTAAGTTTCGTATTTAATAGGAAAAGGTATGGTATAATAATAATTAAAAAATATATTGTAAGTTTAATCGTTTGCTTGTAGTAAATAGCATTAATATCAAATGTACTATCTAGAAATACCGTGGAATTGGAAATCCGGCAAGATACTACAAACCAAAGAGGAATTAGAAAATACGTAGGTCCACTTTTAGTAAATATCCAAGAATTGGATGGTACTTTCAAACACACCTTACAAATTGAAGGTACTGTAGCAAAAGCGGATATAACGTGTCATAGTAAAAGTCGTAGAAATAAAAAGAAAAAAATTCCACTGTGTACCGGAGAAGAAGTGGATATGGATCTCTCTGCTATGGAGTAAATATTATATTATGATAAAGAACATTGTAATTTTATTAAAACTATTACTTTAAGGCAGAGATATACTTATAAGAGTAATTCAATGAATGTGTCTTTCATTCACAGTGACTCTCCTGTATTGTGGATAAGATTGGACCCTGACATGACACTTATGCGCGCTGTTCAAATCGAACAACCCGATTACCAATGGCAGTATCAACTAAGACACGAGCGCGACGTTACTGCACAGCTGGAAGCTATAGAAGCTCTACAGAATCACGCAACACCAGCCACACGACTAGCGTTGACCGATACTATTGAAAATGAGCATTGCTATTACAAAGTTAGACTACGTGCAGCACACTGTTTAACTAAGGTCATTTATACCTAGAGCATTTATATTCCGTGAACCATTATTTACATTACAATTATATCAGGTATATTTTCTAACAGGTAGCTAATGCAATGGTTGCAACATGGGCGGGTCCACCGGCAATGTTAGCCATATTTCGTAAATTATTTGGATCGGCTTCGTGCAGACGTATAATTAAACAAAACAACTTCTCAAATTTTCAGCATTATTTTCTGCAAAAGGTAAAAATAAAATTTTCTGAAATAGACAGATTATTACTTTGTAATACAGTTAGTATATTTTGTTACATATTTATTCAGACTATCCCTGTAGCAATGGCTGGTTTACGCAATGCTCACGGTATATGTCCGCCTGAAGTTTTAGCGTTTCTAATGGATTTATTTAAATACAATGATAACAGTAAAAATAGATATTCGGATAATTATTATAGAGCTGCGTTAATCGAAGCTCTCGGCGCTACTGTCACGCCAGTAATTAGTATACAACAGGGGTATGATGAAAACATTGCAAAGAAAATTCTATTACATTTTTATTATCGTGTATGTTTAACGTGTTTTCTTTTAGGACAGCTATTACTGCCGAATCTTTATCAGCCGATACGAAAGCTATATTAGAAGAGGTCACTAGAAATTTGAATTTGGAAAAATTATTGCCCTGTTATAAGTACACGGTCAGTGTCACCTGCCTGAAAGTCATACGAATTTTACAAAAGTTTGGCCATCTTCCAAGTAATCCCCACCTTTTCAGGGCATATGCTGCATATGGACAATTCATAGGTATAAAATACTGCATATTATATATATCATTAAACGCTAACGAAATTCGTATCTCATTACAATTGATTTAGACGTTAGAATCGCAGCGTTGGAAGCATTAGTTGACTTTACAAAGGTGGACGGTAAATGGGAAGATTTAGAGTTTTTATTAGATATGATAGAAATGGATCCACATCCTGGTGTGCGACACAGATTGGTGAGACTTATGGTTGAAAATCCACCATTCGAAAGAGCGCACAAGCATCGTTTGGATCGTTTTGAATTAGTCGATCGTATATGGAATTTAATTAAGTACGTTTCATTTTAAAGAGCATGGAATTTAATTTCTTTTGTAAGAGTGTTCAATATATTTGTTGTTACAGTGGTATGCTTTCTCATGATCCTAAAATACGATGCGATTTGGTAGATTTGTATTACACTTTATACGGTTCAAAACACCCACTCTGTCTTCCCATTCCTGAACTTGCTGCTCTTACTAAACCAAAGAAAGTAGGCCCGCAAAGCCCCGAACAAGAAGTACGTACTTTGTGAAAAATTTTAAACAAAAATGTTATTTTTAAAAAATTATAGAATAAATCATACATATTTCAGATAAAACCAAACATACCACACATCAAACATGAACCACCAGTAGTGGAAATAGATAATACAAGTGCGATAGGTAAACGAAAATCCTCTCCAAACAGAGATATTCCAGGCCCTTCAAATTCAGTGGAACATGGTCCTGAACCAAAACGACAAAAACAGACATCTAATGTGAGTCATAAATTAATGCGTAGCAAATATTTTGCTTGATAATATTACATTATTAATTATTTGTTCTCTTGCATTGAAAAGGATGACCGAGTACCTTCTGTAACTAGCGAAGGTAAAGTTAAGTCGGAATACTATAGCGACAATTCTGCATCATTGCCTGGTATCTTAGGAACTGCAGGACCAGTAGGTTTCGAACCAGGAATGTTTAAAAAGGAAGTAGAAGAACACAAACAGAAGAGTGATTCTATAAATAAGGTAATTCGCGTTCTAAAAACTTTTTAGTTACAGTATTCATGTGCAGCTTGTGTATGTATATGTATTTGTATCTGTAATTATACTTTCCAGAATAAGAAGAAGAAGAAGGACAAAAAGAAACATAAGCATAAGCATAAACATAAACACGATCATAAACATGGCAAGGATAAAGAGAAAAAGGATAAGGACAAAGATAAAGGCAAGGAAAAAGAGAAAGATAAAAGTAAAGAGTCTTCTAATATGAAAGTAAAAGAAGAAACTCTAAGTTCTGCAAGTTCTAGTCTCAGCCCAGATGCAACGACTATTACTAACGAATTTATTTTCCCATAGCAGTGTATTCAATTATTTTATTACAGTCTGTTATGGTTAAGATTGTATGTATCTTATATAATTTTTATATAACTTAAGACCATCATTCTGATGTATCATGGATCAGAATGTTGATCATCAGCAGCTGTAAATATTACATATTTTTAAATATATTGATATAAAATGTTTTTCTCTAATTTTGTTAAATAAAGTGAGTAAAATGAAAATGTTGTATTAACCCTACACACTACGCGATTTTTATAGAGTGATCTACGTGAATGTATCCGACATTTTTGAAATTATTTTTTAGCAAAAATTTAAAGAGCATTTCAAGGTCATATAAAATCGTTTAATTTACGAAATAATTGTTCCCAGTATAAAATATTTTCTAACATCACCTGCTGTATAAATAACTATTTATATGAAAGCCTATACCAATAAATCGAACAATATAAAGATTTCAAAGATAAAAGACGAACTAGTGATTTGATTTTGGATGGTCTACGTACACAAAAAATATGTTTTCTGGCATAACTTTTAACTTAGTTTTATTCAACTTATCGTTATCTAACTTTTTAAAAGAAAACACCATTTGATAATCGAAGCAACAATGATCATTTCTAAATACATACGTTAAATCTCAACACTCTATCGACACTAGAGACGCGCTCATATTTAAATACTTCCTGCGCATTAGCTAGGATGGCGTCTGTGGTGTTGCGGCAATTTCGAAGGGAATAGTGAGTTTTGAAAATTTTGACAACGACCTCGAGAATGGCAGATAATCAACAAAGTAGATTTGAAAAGTCTCTTGGTCTATTAACGACTCGTTTTGTCACTTTATTACAGAAAGCGAAAGATGGTGTCCTCGATCTAAAAGTAGTAAGTGTTTTCGTAAAAGCCCAGATATAAAAAGTTAATCTGCCTGCTAGGTTAAGTTGTCGCGGGTGTACACGCCATTTCTAGCTTGCGGGAATTTTGAAACAAGTACCGCTAAAATCATCGTTTCAGTTTCATTACCAATATCTTTACTTTAAAGAATACTTCTATATTATAAATTATACGAGTTCAAAATTACACGACTAATACGTTAGAAGTTTTAATATCTCAATGTGCTATCCTACATAACCTAAAAAATAATAAAATTGTTCAGACCCTGGCTATATCTGATAACGTATGATAATAGATTTATAAAATTCTAGGCTGCTGATATTTTAGAAGTACGACAGAAAAGACGAATTTATGATATTACAAACGTCCTTGAAGGTATTGGACTCATAGAAAAGAAAAGTAAAAATAGTATCCAGTGGAAGTATGTTCTTTTTGTGTTCATCATTTTTTGAATACTTTGTACACTCTGTATGTAAATTTTATGATTCAGTTTTACATGTCTTATATAATATAATATTTTAAATATATCAACAGAGGAGCAGGTCCAGGTTGTAACACCCAAGAAGTTGGTGAGAAATTGACTGATTTAAAAGATGAAATTAAAAAGCTAGAGGATCATGAACAGTTATTGGATATGCACACACAATGGATTCAACAGAGTATAAAAAATATAGAAAATGACTTGATCAATAGGAAATATGCATATATCACGTATGAAGATGTAAAAGAAAACTTTCCAGCTGAATTTGTATTAGGAATTCAAGCTCCTCCTGATACAGAATTAAGCGTACCAAATATAACACAGGTACTATACCTTATGTTTACACAGCTTTATATATATTATATAATAACGTTTTATTATGTATACATGGTTTTTATTGCTAGCCCCTAGAAGAAGAAGAAAAAGAAATAAATTATGAAATGTTTCTTAAAAGTAGCTCAGGCGAAATTAAGGTATATATGATTCAACCAGAATTAGCTAAAACGTACGATAATAAAATATTAGAAATGAGATTGCAAGAAGAGGCAAAAGGTACAAAAAGATGCAAAGAAGAAGATGAAAAGAAGGAGGAAACTAATGTTAAACCAAAGAGAAGAGTTGGAAGGTAAGGAAGAACTTATGGAAATAAAGAAACATGCTCTATTCGCATCAAAATTAGTAAGATAATATTTTTGACCTGCAAAGAGCATACAATAATTGATCTTGTAAGGGGATGAATAGATGTCTAGGAAAAATCTGTTCTTTTGGTATAGATCATACAATACAGTAGCACCATAAATACTTGTCCCATACAATCATACTGATTTTAAAATTGTATTGTTTTAGGCCACCAAAAGGAGCAAGTAAACCTGATCCTGTCATATCTGACGAGGATGAAGAGGATGATGCAGAATTAATAGAAGCAAAAATAGTACTTCGCGATGTCAGCGCATCAGGTAGATAACATAAATTCGTATGGTACATATATAGTAAGCAGTATTCACTTGTATGTTACGATTTCAGATATAGCTCAGAAAGATTTGGAACTATTCGATCAACTTTATTCCGACAGTAAGTAAAAATATTTAAATGGGCAGGTAATACTGAAAGTGTTTATAATTTTTATAAATTTTATTTACAGTTTATGGACCGTTAGTGAGATTAAGTCCGCCGCCTAGTGAAAAAGATTATCACTTTAATCTTAGTGAAAATGAAGGGATTTGTGATTTGTTTGACATTACTGCAAAATGAGTAATACTAAGTTATATAGTTTAAATAATTGGATGGTTTATAAATCAGACTGTGCCAATAATGTGCAAAAATCACAGAAAAATTTGTTGACAATTTCTGAAGGCTGTTCTGTGTATATAATTTTAAAGAATGGATGTGGATAACGATCATTGGATACATGCAGTATTTTTTTATTATTAGAAATAGAAAAAAAATAATACAGAATTATAGAAAAAAATGTTTACACAGTCGATTTTTGTTGAATCTTTATTTGATAATATAATAGGAACTTTTGTTTATGGTAATTGCATATAAGGAAGATAATAAAGAAAGAAATATTTTTATGAATAATGTGTTATAATTAGTAATGTTTTTATAAACATTTCGTTAAAGTGAATTATGTATTCTTTTTACATACATAGGTTTGAATACAAATCACTCAAGACAATATAAATATGCATTATGTATAATTCTATGAATTCTATCTTTTAATATATATACATAACATCGATGGAATTTATTATGGACAATATAAGTACATGTGTACTTTTATTCATTTTATAGTATACTTTCAATATTATATGCTATATGTTCGTTACTGCATTCAATGACATTTGATTAAGTTTGTGAATATTGTAATTATTTAAGAAAAATATCATTAAATGGAAATATGGTACAAGTGAAAAGACCAAGAAACTACAATTTACTTTAGAAGAAAATCGTGTCACAGCATTGTTGTATGTGCTATGTAATTACAAGAGATAATTTTAATCTACAAATGTTTTATTTCAAACCTTATTGTGTCCTACTTAAACTTCGTTAACCAAACACCCGCTTTATACCTTGTTCAATTTCACTGATGTCATGTATATTCTAATATCGTTTTATTCTCATTGCGTCTTATCGATATTGTCGATTTGTACGTAATTAAATAACGATGCATAGTCACTTGTGTGCTATATTATACTAACGAAAAACTGCACTCGAAAGACGTAAAATTACCAAGGACAGATAAGAATGGATCGACCAGTTTCGTCATCATCAGTAGTTTTGCGCGTGTCGCATATAAGTCTCACCTCAGCCATTGCCAGTATGCGTGTGTTTCCGTAGTAGCGAATCATTTCCAGATGTGTCAACCTTACGAGATCGGTACCTCATACAAAACCGCGGTGCAGCGAGTTTCCTCGCGTCACGCTCGAACAAACCGCGGTAACGCAGCTGACATTTCGTCCACTAGTCAAAAAAAGGTACGATGCATGAACAAAATATAGGGAACGAAGTGAAACAAGATTATTCACGTTATATGACACTATTACATCATGAATATGAATAATTTTATGTTTTCGAGAGTTTAACAGTGTCTTTTATCAATAGATCAACATCTAAATCGATGACATTTCTATTGACAAAGCTTTGATTAAATGTTTTTCAACTATGTATACATTGAATGTACAACCAGTACAACTTCTCTATTTCTGAAACATCGATAGCACATGCACCACAGCGCCCTCTTGTTTGGCGCGCTATATCATTTATTCTGAAATTACTTGTCACGTGTTACAAAAATAGCGTGTACTTTATAAACTGTCACAGAATAAAATACATAATGATGTGATATATGTACATTAGCACGATTAAAATTTTAATCCATAACATTTTTAATCAAACTTTAAATTTAATTAATCCGTTTTGTATTTCGTTTCGTAGACTCTGTATATTCTATGAACATCTTTATTAAATACTTTATTTGTGATTGAAATTATTTGTATTTTAGTGACGACATTAAAAATGCGTGTAATTTTTGGAAAATTTCGCGAGATATCGCAAAAATATCCAATCGTAAGGGGGATGGCATCATACACTATCATATGGCCTACAGGAAGTTTACTCCAACAAAAAATCGCCGGAAATGAAGAATTAAATTACATACAAGCATTAAGATTCAGTTTGTATGGTGGCTTTTTTGTAGCTCCAACATTGTATTGTTGGTTGAAATGCTCCTCATATTTTTGGCCAAAGTCAGATCTTAAATATGCAATTACCAAAGTATGATAATATGAAACAAAATACTGTTTCTATATGTTAAGTATTATAGTAACAATAAACAAAATTTTTTTTACAGGCCTTGGTAGAACAAGTCACTTATAGTCCTGCTGCAATGTGTTGCTTTTTCTTTGGTATAAACTTTCTTGAAATGAGACCAGTATCAGAATGTATTGAAGAAGTTAAACGAAAATTTTGGCCAACTTATAAGGTAGAATTTTTACCTAATTAATACAGAATTTTACCTAATTAATACAGAATTTTACCTAATTAATACAGAATTTTACCTAATTAATACAGAATATTCCTAAATAAGTGTAACAAAAGAATGAAATTAATAATTTATTTACAGGTCGGTGTTTGTGTATGGCCTGTTCTGCAGACCATTAACTTCTTTTTAATACCAGAACACAACCGAGTGGTGTATGTAAGTGTTTGCAGTTTAATTTGGACATCTTTTCTTGCATATATGAAAGCAATGGAAGGTAAACAAAACGAAGCAACAAATGACAATAATAAAAAACAGACAAATAAAATTGAAAGTAATCATAATAGTAAATCTATTGTAAAAACAGAGGATAAAAGCAAACGATTATCTTCTACATGATAAAAATTTATAGGAAATATTTTTTAGCTTAATTGAATTGTTTACGTAATTGTATAAAATTTATTATATTGCACGATGAGATCAATTAAAATATGTACGTATTATGTATAGTACAAAGTAAGTTAAAAAATTCAACTATATGTATATGTGTTCAATATGTGTCTGTGTATTATAATAGATAGGATTTAAATAAGGAACATTATAAAATCGTGAAAGTATACAAAAAATAACCTTTATCGTCAAATTTAGTAAAGATATATATTGTAATTTTACTGTTGACAATAATTTATATTTATTGTTAATAAAGATAAAATAAATTGTTATTAAACATTACCTTTTTCATTTAAACGAACTTGTATTTCATCCTATTTATTTTGTTGAACATTAAACTTACATAAACATAAATGACGTTAAAAGTAAACATAAACTTCGATATTTTATCGATTCATTCGAGTTCGATTGTATAGACGGAATTCAATATGGCTGTGTTGAAAGTCAGAAGTTTAAATCACTGTAAGCTATTAAAAACAAGTCATTATATTTAATATAAATTATTTAGTTATAAGATATGCCATTATTCGTGTATATACTTGGAAACATGCAGTGTTATGTGTGAAAAGTTGTCTAGCAATATGAAAACTAGCAACATATACAATAGCATGAGGTTATGATATAGGTTCTTATATGGTGATTTAAAATTTTAATAAATTATTTTTCTAAGATTTTAATTCTTTAGTTGTGAAATATGGCACGTTCCTCAGTATCAGCCCAATGTGATTTAGTTGCATCTTACATGGATGGAGTTCACGTTAAAATCGCAGAGGCTTATAAACCTCCAAGAAAAGTGTGTCTGCCAGCTGCGTATAATAATAAACTGCCGGATGTGTCAAAATTTACTTATGACTTTACTTTAGAACGATCCGTGATTGAAAAGGTTGAGTATTATTTTATATCAATTTAAATATAAATATAAATTCAGTTTAATATGAATTGTACCTTTTAACACATACATATATATATATGTAATACAATTATTTTGGTGATATTTTTTAATGTAATTAAATATTGAGAAACATTTGGCTAAGTATAAATTTGTAAATTATATTTAAATAAATCAGTTATAATTTACAAAAACCTGATTTATAGATGACAGAATGGCGTAAAGTTAGACAAGCAAATAACAAGGCACGGCATGCACGATTAGATGAAAAAAGGATGAGAGAAAAGAAAGAATTTTCACCTCCTCCGCCACCTCCATTACCTGATACAACAAAACAATTACCTGTAAATGCACCTGCACCAGAGACTACAATTCTAACACCACAGCCTTTATCACCACCAGCTAATGATCTCCAAGATCATATAAAAACGAATGGTCTTAATTTTGCTGATTTTGATAATGATACAAGTAGTCCGTTTGATAATATGGAATTAAAAACAATTAATGATATGGAAGAACTTGCTCAGGTTAAAAAAATGATTTATGATCATGATAAAGAAGTAAGAAATTATATTTTAAATATATTTATTGTATATCTTATAGGTGCTACAACCTACATCTCAATGGGTACCACTAGCAAAATTAGAAAGTATACTGAATGATTTAACTGTTGATGATCAGTCTGATATTCATGTAGAAGAAAAAAGTGATAATACTAAAAATGAAATTAACGGTCAGGAAGAAGAAAATGATGAAGAAAATGTTAAACATCGTAGCGTGTCTGCAATTGTACAAGAGCTTCAAAGAGATTTAGAAAGACCTTTTATGGAGGTAATAACATCTTTTCACAGAAGCAAAGTTTCTGGAAATAAATTTGAGTATTAAATTATTCATCTCTTTTTTGTATAACAGAATTGGAAACCTTGGCCAAATTTAGAAACACCTGATACCAGTTCTCGTGAAATAAAAAAACAAGAAGAGCCGATGGTATTAAATCAAGTCACTGTTATGAATTTACTAATAGACTTAACAGAAGAAGACAAAAAATTGGCTCATCATTTAAGCGATATGGGATTTTCTGTATCGAAAGCTGCCCGCGCTATACGTGATTTAGGCGGTCAAGATAATAAAAAAATTGTAGAATACTTATTAGCAGTGCAATCCTTAGAGGAAATAGGAATCCCCGGAGAAGATGCGGAAAAAGCCCTTGCCCTTACAGAGTATAATCAAGACAAAGCCAAAGTTTATCACGAAAATCTACGTACTTTACGAGATTTAGGTTTCCCTGAAGAAGAAGCATCCGCCGCACTTCTAAAATGTAACATCGATCGCGATAGAGCTTTAGACTTTCTTATAGCTTAAATGCAAAATTATATACAAACCAATTGAATGAAAAATGGTCTAAACAAATTTTTTACTATACTAAAACATAGACATCTATTTAAATTGTAAATAAAATAAAAGTCATGCTATTTTGAAAGCGGACATTTAGGGACTAAAAATATTTATAATTTCTTTGTATAATAGCAATTTAACATACTAATCATTGTAAGATAAAATAATATGTAAATGTTTTCATACGATGTACACTGAGTGCCGCTACTAAATGTTTGAAGCATTATAAATGAAAGATTTTAAATCTAATTTAAAAATATTAATACCTTTTTATTTTTTGTATGTTATATTTACAGAATTACCTATTTAAACAATGCAAATACCATTAATTTATATAATACCAGTCGTGATTGACTGTCATTTTGGAATGTTTAGTAAATTCGGATGCGCATCTGCAAAATTAAGAAAACCCTTTGGTATTATATACAAAGATAGAGACAATACTAAATATTACCTTTTACAGCAACATAATGCAACTGTTGTTATAGGCTGTGCATAATGGCTAATACCAACAATAACCCAAGCTTCTGTGAAGATTGGCTGTTGACATTCAGAGTGTACACAAATACTAACAGGTCCATTAGTTAGCAAGTTACATGAAGTATGGTTTATGGGATGCATTGAAAAATCAAGATTTTGATCATTATTTAAGGCAATCGGTTCATACTGAACATCTATATTTACAGGTGATGTAAAAATATTAAGTGTATGCTTATACCTAAAATTAAGTATTAAAGGTTCTTTGCATCAAAGTATCAGAGAAAATGAGGTATTTGTTAAAGGAAATGTGGTAGTTACCTTTTAGTGTAAGCTTTTCTCAAAGCTAACTCCCACAGAGAAACAACTGTATTTTCACGTATATTGTGAACTTTAAAAAGCTGTCGTGGTAATTCAATCATAAAATCAGTATCTTTTCCATGCACTGCATTTATTTTTATGTTTAACTTTATATTTGTGTGTAATACTGTATTCTCACAATTCATTTTAAGACATCTAGGATTGTATACATGTATATATTTATAAATGTAGCAATAAATTCGAGTTTATTATTATTTTTGAAAACTATATTATGTACTAATTTATCATAGAATGTTCAAATATATTTCAAATTTATTTCAAGTTAAATTGTTTGTATTTATTACAACATTTATTAAAAATACACTTACCCGTAACCCAAAACACTTCTTTGATTATTCGTAAATAAATCTTGAGCTTGAGTAGTTAATTGATAAAGAAGTGGATAAGACAAATAATTCAAATACACATTTGCATCAAATCTAATGCAAGGGGACGACACAAATCCATTTAGTGGTAAATACCTTAGCCTACATAAAAGTTATTCTATTTAAAATGAAAGTCTTTAATAGTGTTAACAAGAGTGTTATTCCTAATAAACTAATGTATCATAATTTAGCAATCATTTCTATTTATTTAATATGTATAACAACCTGTTAGAACACACAGAAATTACTGATATTTCTGGCGATAAGGTAAGCCTATTGGGTAATTCTTTTAAACAATTATTATCTGCATTTAATTCTTTTAGCTTAGGCAAAGAACCAATCCATTCTGGTAATGCCACAAATTTATTTCCAGAAATGGACAAAATTTCTAAGTGTTGCATCTGATTCATTTCTATAAAAATTACATAGAAAATCAGATTAAAAATAACTTTGTGCTTATGACATTTAAAGACTTACCAGCTGGTAATCTGTCTATAAAATTTTGATTTAGCGATAAAGATTTTAAGTTGACTAATTTTCCTATTTCAGATGGTATTTGTTCTAGTTTATTAGCACTCAAATCAAGAACTGTTAACTGACTCATTTGGCAAAGTTCAAGAGGTAATTCTTTGATTAAGTTCCCATATATGTACAAATTAGTTACATTGAATAGTTCTACGATCCATGGAGGCAATGCACTAAGTTTATTCCATTTTAAATATATCTCTTGAATATGACTTCCATAGATTCTTATTGCTTCAGGAAGTTCCACAAGACCCCGACAATTCCAGTGCAATATTACCTTCTTTTTGATTTCGTTCACCATTTCTGTGGAATCTGAGTCCATTTTTAAATGAATTTAATCAAAATAGTTTTCAGATATTATAGAGAAGAAGTAGATTCTGAATTTTTGAGGTTGGCAACCAACCTTCAGGGTATACTCAAAATAACTTGCCTGCTTGAAAGATTTATATTAATAACCTATTATAAAGCAATGTCATATGACATTCTACTTTACAATAACAATATCATTTGTTATTATATTTTATAACAACACTCTATTATATGTATGTTATACAAATTTTTATAATAAATTATTAACAAAAATTTATCCACAATCTCACATAATACACTTAGACAACAGACATTTTGCAACAGTCAATAATAATAAACATTTATAGTTACTGATATAAATTTATACTTTTAAATATAACACACAGTGTAAGTTGAACAATGTTATTTGTTTATTAATGTAATCTCTCAACAAAAAAATGCACTCTGCTTTATATTTAACAGTTATACTTACTATTTTCTTAATAACGATGAAAGAAAGTAGAAGTAGATATATTATTGTATGTCTTATCACGTATTTTATTCAGTTATATTCTATGAAATATATTATTATACGAGGTTATTCGCAACGAATTGTATGAATAATATGCGTGATTATGTTGGAACAATTATCAAATGTAAAAGCTATTTTTTTAAATATTTCGTGTATTAAAATATGTTTGTGTTTGTACATTTTTTATTTACGAACCTTATCAATCTTTTGTACTCCATTGCCATAACAATCGATACATGTTGCAAGTTACGTGCACACTACAGGTATACAGAATCAGCTGATGTCAAGGGCATCTTTACTATACTGTATACCAACAAATTAAACATTACGTATTTACAGTCACACGGTCTCGTGTAGAGTGAGGAGAAAGTCGCTAAGTTTGTTTCTCCTTCTCTAACATGGTACATGTGCAGTTACTGTGTTATTGAAACGTTAGATGGTATTATTTAAATTTTGTATGTAATAGATAGTTAATCCAATCAAGACATTATTTATAACATTATTTGCCAATCATGTATCGTTATTTATAACAAGAACACTACTATATTTGAAATAAAAGAAATGATATGTATTCTTTATACAAAACGTTCTCTATAATCGTCTTATCCTACTCCCTTGCGAGAATTATATGTATAGGGTAAATTATATTATCTATTCTAGCAATCGTTCTTCTTTTTGCTATTAAATATACTTTAGTTACGTTTTAAGAATTAATTTTGATATGTACGTACATACGTTCTTACGTATAATCTAAATGGCATACACGTACGTAAGTGTATTTAATAAATAATAATCTTCAACAAAATATGTAGACGCCCCCATAGCAAAGAGGAAGGAAAAATAGGATTTGATGACTTTTCCCTTTCGCGGCACGAATTCGTGTCTGTAGAATATGACACAATAAATCAAAGATGAACTACAAAATTCTTTTCCGAAAATATATGTGAGGTTAGAGACGTTTCCCAGAAATTCCATGTGTATATTTTGGAGAAATTTCTTTTTCAATTTCCCGAAATTGCGCGAATTGCCGAGCTCACGTAATATGATTCGTGCGGTAGGATATCTCTGCTTTCCCCACGACTCCGTTAGGTTAGCTGCTAAGGAAGTTCGTCGTTAGTAGTGTCGCCGTCGATGCACTCAATTATGCCAAATCTGGCCACGCTGTACTTTATTCTACCAGGTGACGCTTATGGAAACCAATATTTCTTATTCTGCCTGCAATCTAACCTAGCTTGCGTGTAGTGAAATGTACAAGTTATTATTTCGTTTTAAATACGTATCCCTAGAATGCTTATTTGTTACATACTGTGAAAATAATTGAAACTTATCAGCGTGTAATGTTTAATCATATTTTCCTTAATATAAACGGAGCATTGTTCGATAAGAATTTCTATTATTAGTTTAGTCGAATGAAATACTTTACAGTTTCGATTACATTTGAGAATACGGCACAAAAGTATTAACAATAAAGTAATCACGGTGAAGTAAGAATATCGGTTATTGTTCAAGTAGTATTCATAAAGTACGACAATGTTGAAACGGAAATTTGACGAGATGGAAGCTGGCACTACTAATAATAAGCAACCAGTGAAAAATTCATTAGATTCGGACGAAGAAGACGATGAAACTAATGAGGATAATTATAATGTAATGAACGAGGATGATTTTGAGGGTATGTATAAGCGTACACAAAGTAATGTTCAATAGAAATGCTAGAAATTTGCATGGTCTGTTTAGGTGTTGAGGATGGACCAACTGCTGTGGAAACAAATGTGGGTTTCACAGCATTCAATATGAAAGAAGAATTAGAAGAAGGACATTTTGATAAGGACGGCCATTATCTTTGGAACAAAGAGAAAGAAATTAGAGATAATTGGTTAGACAACATTGATTGGATGCAGGTTTGTAAACCAAACACAATTAAAATTTAACAATGGTATTAAAAGTGTATGATTTAAATTAATATTTGTCATGGTAGAAAGTGAGCCTTTAATACAGATCAATGTAAAAATTAGAAGTGTCTTTATTTTTATAACTGTTTCTTGTTTGTGGATTCTTGCATACTGAAATATCAGAATATGTTTTCATACAGCAGACAAATATAATTATCTGTAAACCCGCCTTGTTTACTCAGTGATGCAAAACATTACTAAGGCATAATCTTGATAGATCAAACCGAGTTCTACAGCAAGTGTAAAGAAGGAAACTGAAAGCAGTGAGAAACACGGATTGGCAGATAGCGATAGCGATAGTGACGATGATGATGGTCCAGATATTATGTTTGATCCAACTCAACTCTATAAACAAATATTGGAATACTTACGACCTGGAGAAACTGTTTCCAAGGCTTTGTGCAGGCTTGGTAGGTATTCGCATAGATTAAATTTGATTTAAGAAGATTATGTTCATTGTACCATTTATCTATAGGCAAAGGTAAGAAAAGATTAACTACATTAGAAAGATGGAAGAGGAAGAAAGAGAAAAAAGAAGTAGACGACGAAGAAAGTTCTGTTACTATCATGAAATTAACAGAATTGGCAAATGAATTGTTAACCCGTACTGGAAATATGGATATATATCAAGAAAGTTACGATCAAATTAAAAAAAAAGTAATTTGTTTTGTTATTGATACAATAATAAGTATGAAAATGTTTTAACAAGTTTATTGTAATATACATTTTTACAGGTTGAGAAAGGTGAAAAGCATGCCCATCCCTCGAAACAGGAAGCAGAGTTAGATATGTATGCAGATGACTTTGATGAAAAAGAGAAAGCAAAGTTAGACGAAAGCGAAAGTAATTATTTTTTTCATATAATTATATGCTATTTGTAATTAATCATATTATACGTATATAATATACTGAATATTCATATTGTTTTTTTAGGCGGCGTTAAAAAAACAACAAATTCTGCGAAAGATGATGACGACGACGATGATGATGATGATGATGATAAAGAGGATGAAGTGACTTGGGAATTAAAATGGTCACAAGACGAAAACGCGGATATTCACGGTCCACACACAAGTCAGCAAATGCAAGCGTGGGCAAAGGAAGGTTATTTTAAGAATGGAGCGTGGGTGCGAAGAACAGGACAAAATAATCAGTTTTATAATGCCGCGAGAGTGGACTTTGAACTTTATCTGTGATATTTTGCTGTAATATAGCTATCTGATAAAGAAACTTAGTATTGTAATATTTTAAACATACTGTTGTAAACCTTGGTACCACATTGTTAAACTAATACTCCGTTCAATTCCGACATAGGTGAAAGCAATGTCCAATTCAACAGTATCTAAAGTAATAACGTGTCAAATATGTACAATACTATTATAAAGATCAATTACGAATTATTCGAAGTTACTACAGTGTAACGACCTAAAAATTTTCCTTCTCTGTATTTAAACAAGAGTATCGTCAGTAATGATACCGAGTAACAATTCATTCCATGTAAAATGTCCATTCTTGATACATATCGCACGAATAAAAGTATTTGTGAAGTAAATATAGTAATTATTTTTTTTTTCTATTCATGTTACTTACTTTCGTCGTCACGAATTTGGAAGCCAAGAAATATTTTAGGGTTAGGTTGTACCTCGGATGTTTTCGTTGACGTCTTACTAAAGACCATCCGGTATGCCACTTAAATCGAGAAAAAACTAAACTTACACTTCAGGAACTTCCTGTGCATGCCCAATGGAATAGGGGGTGGCTGAATTTATAGTCAGCGGGCGGTGTGGTATTTTTAAACAGAATTTTATCCCTAAAGTAAATCTATTTGTACCCGCGCATAAAAACCTTGCGACCACCCCTGTTTATTCAACGGAGTGCAACTCGGTGTCCTTTCGTACCACGGTTCTATATTTTTAAGAAAATAAATTCCCAAAATCGTCGTACACCCGCCGTTCGTTTGGTCTGCTTTAAAGTCATAAAGGAATATTTCCTTGTCGATACGTACGAAATAAAACACGAAAATTAACGTTCCAAAACAAGCACACAAAAAGGTCAGACACATAAAACGGAGGGATTAGAACAGTCGGCTAAACATAGAGTATCACGTATACAACAAAACGACACAGCACAACACAAAAGGGATTTAACACAGTCTACCGAATATACTGAATATACAATATAACTTTATTAGATATCTTAAACATTTTTATTAGCAATGTATGAAATTTCTATATGGTTACGTAAAATATTTCGCGTATGTCAGTAAATCGTACATACATATGTACCCGTGAGTATGTGTTTATATATATATATATATATTTTTTTTTTATATATATATATAATATTTTTATATATATTTTATATATATATAAATTGTGAAGTATAAATTCGTGGCTCCTCTCCAAAGTTCGCAAAAAATTTTCGAGCGGAGCTTTTAAACAACGTACAAGACGAGAGTTGTTTTACGGAGTTTTAACGGTTAGCAAAAGTTTTACTGAACTCCTATGGTCGTCGTTTGAAGTCGAATGAATCTAAACACGAGATCGATACATTTTATGGAAAATACGAATTTACATCTACGTTAATATCAAACGTCGCAAACATTACGCGTTCGATCGAGCCCGACCGGCTCAAAGTACGTTGGAAAAACTTAAAGTACTTCCGCTACGGTCAGTCTACGAACAACGAAAGAGAATGCTATCGAGTCCAAAAATGAACAAAAAAAAAGAAACGAGAAAGAAACATTTTATCGCGAGCCTTTCAGAAACTGCCAATTCCATCGTTTCAGCGATTCTATGGAATTCTGCGAATCAGCGAAATAGAAAAAGTCACCGACACCGAGGTCGGCGTCCCTAACGTTCATCCACTTCCGGTGAGAGACAGATGCAAGAGAAAGGGGTGAAGCGACTGTACAGAACGGCTATAAACACACGAAACTATTTACAGGAAAAATTGACATAGATACAGTGCAATACATTTACGCAGAGATCAACGAAACATGTACAATTGGTTCTTCTTTGATTCACGAGTGGCACTCGAACGATCGAGCAACGTCGTCGTTCGCTAGCGTCAACGACGGTATACAGCGGATGCGTCGCTGCAAGTGTCGTCTACGATTTACAAGCGAAATTACATCCCCCTCCCACTTCCACCCGTTCCCGAAAAGGTACCTGAAATCGTTACTGGTATTCTTGCATCGTTGTTATGAAACCGGCGGAGATTACTATCGTAGACAGAGAGACGGGAAAAACGAACACTTAAACAACAGGACACTCAGACGGACGTTTACGCGCGCGCGAGAAACGTGACGCGCATTCGACGTTGCGTAGCTTTTGTTTTTTTTTATGTACATACAAAAATAACCGTCGACGGGGCACGCCTCAAACGCATCGAAATCCCCCCCTTGAAACGTAGCCGGAAAAGGGATGCCGCCGCGTGGAAAGGAAGAGGAAACGGGCGACGGAGAAGCTGCTTCGAACTGGGGCTGATGCTTCTCGAATATCTGAACGCTTCGATGGCGGAATTTTATTGTGTGGAACGACTACGGTTCGAAGGAAACGGCCATATTTCATCAACAAACGATACGAATACTTTAATTATTCTTGGAGAAGTTCTCTCATGCCCATTCTTGCTAATGATACATCGCTTTTTTTATGAATTATTTCACGTCTCGTTTCTGTGATTAGCCCCACACGGTTATGCCTCGATGCTATCATTAGACACGAACGAACACCGTGGCAGTCAGAATCAGTTTTAATCTTTGTAGAAGAATGTTTCCATAAAGGGGATAATCTATAAGGACATGGTAGAGCATTCGAGTCACGGAGGTACTGTGTCTAGGTAGTAAATCTTCGAATTTTATCCGTGGCGTACGAATACTTGTCGAATATCCAAATAGTAAATTATTTAAACAGTCCCTGCCCTACTTCGAACCGGGGTTGCCACCATTCGAGTAATTTCACCTCTTCGGGCCTGCTATACATTGTAATTTGCGTCGACTCTAACCCCTTAACTATGGAAGAAAATCATCGAAGCCGGTGATTCAATGTGGAGAAACGTCTCGTTTCTAATGACTCGAGTGCCTCGTTTCTTAGTCTAAATTATGGATCTGTAATTTCTTTTTTTTTATTACGATTCTGTAGCTTCTGATAAAACACTGCGACGAAGAAAGGTCTAAGAATTTTTGTCCCTGTCTGTCTCGAGCTCTGCTTCGAACCCCTTCGCGCGATCGAGCCCTTCGCCACTTCGCGCGACCGCCCTCTTTTTTTTTTTTTTCCAACCGTCTTCGTTCTTCAGCCAGGATCCATCTAGCATGACTAACTACCATGACTAACGAGTCGGGCGAAGTGCCACCGAAGAATCTTGGCTAACCGAGCGGGAAGGTAGGTCGAACGAAACGCTCCCGACTCTAATATTTTCGGCTGTCAGAGGGTGGTCCAGGAGCCTTCTCGCTTTTTCCAACCAGTCCGCCTCGCTTTTATTTTAATTGGTCCTTAATCTATTTCTTCCGCTGCTACGAGCGTCTCTACCGTTCTGGCTTTAACCTCATTCCCTTTGCTCTTTGTCCTGCGCTCCGTTCGCCTTCAAACGCGCTCATCTAATCTGGACCGATCGATCCCCGAGTATCAACATCATCGCGCGAGCGAAATCGTGCCGTTCGTTCCCGATACAGCTAATGAAAATTTCCGTGTGCTCGACGTCTAACGAGAGGAAGATCCCAGACGTCACTTTCCTTTTACAATTAGACTCTTTCCCTAATTTCTAGCGGGTGATTATCACCCTTCCATTTCCACTGTACCTATACGAATACATACGTAAAATTAGTAAGTAAAATATTACTGGCTTTTCAAATCTGAAATAGAACGATGTTCTTAAACGTGTTGGTTGAATTCAACACGCTAAAATAAAATGTTAAGTTCATATTTATAAACATATGACCTGATACGACCTCGTTGCTCAGACAGTTGTTTTTGTATTCCAGTAATTCTTATAATAAACCAAGTTCGTTCGATTATTTATCAGTCGAATATCTCTTGTCCCGTACAAGGCAACGATTTCAAATAAGCTGTGAAAAATTTTCACCGCTGAAATATGATATTTGTTATGATTGGTATATTCCGAAATATTTTATATTTACATACGTTTCGCCTCCCGCGGCTAGGTTACTTTCCCTGTACTTTTTATCCGTCGACCCTTATTTGGATTGCCGACACGTCGACGGTTCCTCGTCATTTTATTGCGACAATACACCCCGAGCTGTTACTTTTGCCGCAATATTTGTCGAAAGAGAAAGCAGTTGCGAATTACATAACGTGTTTTCGTAAGTCTCTTGAATCTTGTTATACGAGATAAACCGGGGCACAAAACTTAAAAAAGGAAAAAAATACTCTATTATTCCTTCCTCGACTCATTCTCATTTCTCACCATCGTTCAAGTTCTCTTTACACAATAAGATGTTGTAAAAATATGCAAAAGTATATATTCGAAACTTTTCCCACGATTTGAACGTTCTTATTTACTTTGGCTTAAGATTTCGTAACTTTTTCGAACGTCGAACGGATCGAAAGATACTTCGTAACTTAATCAGGGATCGCCCCTCGAGCGTCAGACGTTTCTTTGCAAAATGGCGGGGACACCTGTGACGTTATCCCCGTAAGTGCAGCGCGGAATAAAGTTCTCCGTAACCGAGACGTCGCGATGGCTAGTGGTTTTATCGGCGTCAATCGCAGGGGAGGACGAAAGCTTACCCGACGGAACATGAAATGGGAAATGGAAAATCCTCGGCGTAACCAGATTGCCAGGAGGATCCCGTCGCTGCGAATAAGTTTCCAGCTGATTCGTCGCGATTGGTCGCAAACTCCGTATCGGGAACTTCGCAACTTCCGAGTGATGGACGGCACAAGAAGATCCACAGAAGTCGTGACCGTATCCACTAGGTCAGTGGTGCCGTCGCGTTACTGAGACGTTTTCACCCTCGATTCGTCCCCGAATCGGCCGGAATGTCAAATGAATTTTTCAGAGGTGTCTGGACCCGGCGTGACTCGATGAGGGGCAACGTTACGGAAGAGATACGCGAACGCCGAACGTCCCACCCGATTTCGTTAGAATCACGTTCTTACAGGTGGCACGAATATTTCATCCCCCTATCCTCCCCTCGTCCTCGTTTAGCCGCGTAAATTTTTTATGCCGCCACCCGCGCGGCAGAACGGTAACGTAAATTAAGCGACGGGGTATCAGGGGAACTGTTAAAATTCAACGCCACCGGTCGGGGTGCGCGAGGGGGGCTCGCGAGGAAATTGCACGAGGGGCGCGGAATTGGGCACACTGATTACTCGACATAGAAATCCCATCTCTAACAAAAACAGGTGTGTTCATTATGGATTTTCGCGCGTCGAATCCATACTTTGAAACGGGAATTTCGCGAAATTTTTATCAACAGATTCGGGTTCGACGCTGAAAAATTCACAAGACGCGTTCGAAAAGGTTTCAAAAGAGGGCAAACAAAATTTTTGTCCGAGCAACGTCGATAGTTCACCATGTTTGCTCTCACCCCACTGGTCTCGTGCTAAATATTTACTGTAAACTTTATTTTTCTGTTTCTTCTCAAAATATACAGTGTAATATATTTAGAAACAATTTCCACCCCGACTTTGACTCTATTCAAATTGTATACGATCTCTTCGGTTAAGATGGGAAACGTTAATAAAAATCGGGGTCGATGCATTAGCCGAAATGGCTGAATGGGTTAATGGGTTGATCGTGTCGACGAGTGCCAGATGGAATGGTCGTTCCCTAAACTAATTATGCGGGGATCCAAACGTTTCTGGACCGCCCGGGCTAAAGGTGTACAGCGGAGAAATGAATATTTCACGTTGGGACTTCCCCTCGAGGAACTGTGTCACAGTGGGCGATTATAATCAGCGTGGGTTCTGGTGCCGCGTAAAATTTCCAGGGGGATGCGTATGCGTTTTGAGGGCGCGCTCGACGGCGAAACACGCACAGACGGATTTCGGAGCATCCCGCTCCGCGTACAACGGTCCTCGGTCGTTTTCCCCGCGACGCGTTACACCCGCGCACGGTGTTTCCGCGCGCGTATTCGAGATCGCGACAATTTTCACGAGGTACGCGTACGTACGCATTATCGTCGTGTATATTTTTTTTTTTCCTTTTCATTCGTATTCAAAACGTAACATCTTTCCAAACTTAACATCATAAATTAATAAATAAATATATATATATTATTTATATATATATATATATATACGCTTAGGTCTGTATAAACGTGTAATTTCGTCTCTAAATATACGCGGTGTTGTAATGTGTCTACTGGTAAAGGTCGCGTCTATTATTGCTTCAATTTACAAGACGACTGTAAAACGGTCCTCCTACGGCCGATCGCCGTTGAAAAAGGAGTAAAGGGACCGTCGTCCAGTTTACGAACTCTATAACGCGTGTCTTTTTTGCTCCCTTGAACGTACGCCTAGGCGCAGAGGAACGCGTTAACGCGATTGCTTCTTCTTCTTCTATTCCTTTTAAACTCGCTTCTCGTCAATCCTTTTGCTTGAGGTAGCCGCTCCGTTTCTCGCGAAGGCCTCGTCGCGGACTCCCAACGGCCTGACGGCGGGGCTTCGCTGAACCAGAGAAAGGAAAAAGTGAACGATAGAGACAGATGCGAGGAAAAGACCGAGCAAGGGAAGGTCGGAGAAGACAGAGAAGAGAAAAAGAGAGAGAGAGAATAATCTCGGGGACGCCTAGCTTAGAAGGGTTTAAACGGACTAACGAGACGCCGCTTTGATTTGATTTGTCACTACGTTTAAATGCGAAATGAACGCCCGCCTCGAGAAACACGGCGCGCAGCATTTGCACTGAACCAACGGAATCCGACGCAATCCGTGAAAATAAATACGTTTCCCGACCGTGCCCGACTACAACGAGGCACGCCTCTGCGCCCCCGTAGCAATTTACATTCCAAGTCAGATTGCGTTCGCCCAGTGAAAATGCATTCTGCTTCTACGGGCGGCGCAACTATCTCGGAAGACATTTCATTTTCGACTCGTACACCCGGTAGCTCGTCGCGTACCGTGTATTCGACCACGATCGACGACTTTGTCCCTTCGATGAACGACGACGCTCAACGAGGGGCCATTTTTCCTGGCGGGGGGGTGAGGTCGAGAAGTCAGAGCACACGCCATTTTGAATTTCCCAGCGAAGAACGTCGGGGCGATTGTAAGTGTTTGCGCGAAAAGAAATTACAAACGCAGAGGTAGACTCATTTATTGAGCTTGCAAGGTGCCGTTAACAAAGAAACACCCTGAATACGTATAAAATTTGTCGAGTACCAAAAAATGGCCACTGTTCGAACGTCGTCCGAAGGAACGCGTCACGGTTCGCAGGCCTCCCCACGGACGACAGAATCGATACTCCGGGGGGCGAAGAATGGATTTACCGTATCGCGGTTGATCTCTGGCAATCAGTCAGAAGGGATCAGGTCTTATTAAAGTCTCCTGTCTCCGTGATCGCGACGACGATTGTCCGCCACTCGCGTAGCTCAATTTACTTCGGCAATCCCCTAAACGAAACACCGGCACTAACCGCGCTCGCTTCTTCCCGGGGACACGGGGAAGCGTTCCCGAATGTAAGCGTGGGGCGACTCGGGAAAGTTTCGGCGGTGTACAGAATGGCCGTGGCGGCCTCCGGAGACTCGAGTTTCCCCGGTTCGCGCGGGGCGACGTAGCGTAACAGGTCCCCGGGCGTTCAAACGAACACGACGTGAGGCTTCTCGGGAAGCGGCGGTTCGTAGTCGTAATCGTAGTCGTAGTCGTAGTCGTAACCGTAGTCCAGCCGGTGGCCGTTCGATCTGGGCGCGGCGGGAGTCTGCATGCGATAAAGCGACAGCACTTCCGGCGGTTCGTCGCGGAGATCGGTCACGTCGGCCACCGCGTACACACCCTCTTCCGTTTGACCGTTGTACGGCTCCGTTTCCGGTCTGGCCGGACGGTTGTACCTGGGCGTCTCGTAGATGTTCGTGTCCTGCGACCGAGGGGGGCTCGGTTGGCCGATCTTGCCGCGCGGCGTGTCGTACGGGGTGTCCTCGTTCCTGGCCAGCAGCCGTCTGCTGTACGACTCGGCGTTCTTGTCCAGCTCGTCGTTGTTCCGACCCACGTAGACGAGGAACTCCGGCCGATTGGGGGCGGCGTACGCCAGTCGTTTCTTCCTTTTCGTACGCGTCAGATGCGCTATCAGCGCGAGAATGGTCGCCGTGGCGGCCAAACAGCCGGCGGCCGACAACGAGAGATAGAGAGGACTGAGACGACACCGCAGCGAGCCCTCCGACAGAGCGATTAAGGCTTTACCGGCGAACTCCTCGTCGTTACAGATAATATCGCGGGTATCCAGTTCGAGCCTGGACTCGTTCCGTCGTTCTTCCGTCCTGATAACGTTCCACAGCCAATGCACGGAGCAATTGCAAACGAGGGGATTCCCGCCGACGCGAAGGGACGACAGTCCGTCGACGGGAAACTGCGTGGGTTGCAGGGTGGTGAGGCTGCATCGACGCAGGGACACCCATTTCAGATATCTCGCGCTGTAGAGAACCCTGGCGGGCAGTTCCTTCAAGCCCCGATTCCCGTCCAACGAGATACGCTCGAGGTTCACGTTGTCGGCGAATGCCCTCGCGTGGACGCTGACGAGCGTGCAGTCGTTCAGCTCGAGGCTCCTAAGCTCGAAGAGATTTCGGAATCCCACCGCTTCCAGGCTGCCCAACGGGTTCCGGCTGAGCACCAGGTGCGACAGAACGTTCAATCTAGCCAACGCGGACGTGGGCACGGACGTTAGGTTATTCCTGGAGATATCCAGCCGCAGAAGACCCGGCAGACGGTCGAACGCGTCGTCAGCGATGTTTCTAATAACGTTGTTCGCCAGATCCAGCGAGACTAACGACGGCAACGAGGGCAACGAGTCCCTGTCCAGTTCCTGGATAAGATTGTCGGACAGATCCACGTTCTCTAAACTGGGCGCCAACGCCAAATTGTCCGTCGGGATTTCGAGCAGCGAGTTTCTGTTTAGAACGAGAGTGCGAATCTTGTGCAGGTTCCTCAGCAGCCCGTCAGGCAGACTGGTGATAGAGTTGTCGCTGAGATTCAACACCTCCAGCTCGCTGGTGCTCTTGAACGCTTGCTCGTCCATGTCGGAGATGTTGTTGCTGGCCAGGTTCAGCTCCTTCAGAGCGTCCATGCCTTGCAACGCGTTCTTCGCCAACGCTCTGATCGCGTTGCTGCTCACGTTCAGACCTACCAGGTTCCTTTGGAAGATAAAATTGTCCGAGCCCAGCGTGTGGATGGCATTCGAGGTGAGATCGAGGGTCTCCAGGTTACCGTAGAAACCGAACGAGAGATGAATGTTCCCGACACGGTTGTTGGACAGGTCCAGATGCTTGATCTCCGGGTTCAATTGAATTGGAACGACTTCGAGGCCCGCGTAAGCGCAGGACGCGCGCAAGCTCTCGTCGTCGCAGCGACATTGCGTCGGACAGAGACCATTTGCAACGACTGACATCGCGACGGCCATCGCTATCGCGATTGGCAGCGTCGTCGCCGAGGGTCCACGTGATGCCATTCCATATGAACTCCTCCTCCACTGGAACTGCCCTGCAACAAATTAACAATACTTCAGCATACGTCCTGTTTTCTATTCTTGGGCGATTCGAGTTTCAAACAGGGTGCTCTCTATTCTTGCACAGTTCGTTGCAAGTTCACGGACGTTCTTTTACAAGTTGGTTGTAAGATTATTCGTAAAATTGGTTGCGTATACCCGAAGCGGGACAGAAATCAATGACGGTCGTGATTATTGGAAACAGTCCATGTACGCACGACATCACTTTGCACAAACTGCATCGAACAACATGTCATTGGTCCAATGCCAGCAGGCCACCCCAGGGCACTATACGACCCTAACTTCGTGAAGTTTCAAGTTACGACGACCACTCAACCTCCTATAGCCGCTGCTTTCTATACCCTTTTTTTCCACGGAGATAAAGACGTTTTCCTCCGACGGTGCTTATGTTTCAACCGCGGTCTGTTAACTCCAACCCCCGTCCCCCGCAGCCCCTAATGCCACTGTCTACCAAGCGGTCGAGCCACTTTAATATTGAATAGAAACCTATAACCTTTAATGGCCGCGTGTAAGTCGGCGACTTAAAATAACCTTTTCTCCTTCCATTATTGCGTATGCTATACGTGGCCCTGGAACGAGCGTTTCTCCACGGCTTAGCGGCCGTAGCTAGTATAATTATGTAAACGATATAACCCCCGAAGGCGCGGAAACCCAACTCAAATCCCCCCTCCCCCCTCCCACCTTCCAAACCACCCGCCGGGAAAGCAGAGTTCGGCAAAATAAAAATCCCTGGGTCGCAAAAGAACCTTTGTAAGCGGGTAACCCAGCGAGAGCGTAACTACCCTTTACGTTCGCCGGTTTGCTGCACAAACTCGATGCAAGTTTATTTACGGACACCTGCACGTTCAATTCGCCCGTTCGGATTTTGCACGGCCACCCTTTTCGCCACTCCCTCCCGCCAGGGTTGGAAGGAGATACAAGTGGCTCCGCGAGCGTATTCTAACGCTCTGGAATCAAACGTTTAAACCATAACAAAAACGAACTGATACACCGAATTTCGGTGAACAAGTAATACCATAAGACCTCGCTCAACCCCTTGACGTATACTTTTGTTTAAAGTTCGTACGAGGAATGGTCACGAGAAAGAATAGATTTGCTTCACGAACACTTCGATGAACAGTGAACAGCCCCATGATTGTGAAACTTGACATCAAGAATCGTAACGAGTCCAAAGGGTTAATGCCGTTTAGGACGAGCAACGAACACGGTTCTTCTCATCAAACATTTTTGAGCTCTCAAACGTTACGGGACAGTATAATTAAAACGACAGAGCTTCGTTTAAAAAAGGATTGCATTTTTCACTCGCGGCGTAACGTTAAAATGACAAACAATTTTGCCCCTGGTTGCGGCGCTCTTTCACGGAACACGAAAGGAATGTTTTCAGCGCGTAAAAATTCGAAAACCATAACTCAACTTGATTGTTTCGCGTATTAAACGTTTCCAAAGCGCCCGGGATACTTTTCGCTAGTCACAGTCTATTCAGCCGGCGGCGTTGGTACGGTCCCTGTGTCAACTTTTTCCCCGCGCATAAATAACATCGGCCCCCGCAGGCGCGAAAGGAACAATGATAACGCGGAATAGTTTCAAAAGCGAATCGCGTGCGGCGAGCCCGCCGCGCTCGGTAGCCGCCACGAAAATTAACAAGCCGATAAAAACTTTATTCGCCCATCGTTTTTATTATCTACGGGTACGAAACCGGCGCGCCGATTCCAGACCCGGGAAACTTCCTCGAGCACGTTCACCGCCGAGGAAAACAAGGGCGAGTTAAAATTGACGGGAGCCGGTTAATTGATTCGACGAGCGTTTCTTTTAACGAGTCTATTAATTGGCCGATTCCATACGCGCGACAAGATATTTTTCAAACGACGGTCGGAACAGTTTGCGAAAAATTTCAAGGGTTGCGAGTGCATCGAAGCAGGCATAGAAAATTCAACCCCTCCGAACGAGTGCGTTTTAATACCCTATCTATAATAAAGTCTTTAACCCGCTGTTTATCAAAGCGGGGACTGCAACCCCTGGGGGGCTTTCACGATCCAAGGGGGGTGAGAAAGAAAATTTTTAACGCGGAAGGACGCGGACTTGAAAATTTATCAAAACGATAAATATTTTTATTTTTCATACTTTAAATCCTCGTAAATTATGAACGAAGAGAAATATCAAATAAAAATATTTGTCGAAGATCAGAACGTGTAAAACATATTTATATTCGAATCGATTGTTCGTTTCGGATTAAACGTTTTCCCTCTTTATTCCAAATATTATTCTTGTACTCGCGCTCGTAACGTTTCACTGAACGGGATTCAGTTTTTCGTTAACGACGAACAAAATATCTGGGTCCTGTTATGCGGGCATTTTTATTTCCATTTTCTATAAATTCTCCGCAAACTGGAATTTCCGTTTGTTTGTTTTTGCCCGAGAATTTGAAAAACAGTGCAATCGAAGCACTTTAAACGGGACGTATTAAAAAGAATTTCATAACTGTTTCGATCCCCGATTTTTCGACACACGCGATGGACCATTTGCAAACGGTTTTTTTTCATTTACGAGGGTAAAGGAGCCGGATTACGGTTGCCGCGTTTCATACCGTCGAATGAAAGCACCAAGTAAAGGAATAAATTTTGTACGAGGATATAATTAATGCGCGCAGAATATATTACTGTGCCAGATACATGGCCAGATACAATTACTACGATAATATTAAATTATAGTATTATTCGTATTATTATACGATAATGATAGTATTATCACTCTATCTCTTGAATTACTTAATGCACATGGGGCATGGTACACTCGCGGAATTATTGAAATATAATTATCCAAGGTACTTTTAATTTTAATATATTAAATAACATATACAGGGTGTTCGGCCACCACTGGGGAAAATTTTAATGGGAGATTCTAGTGGCCAAAATAAGACGAAAATCAAGGATATTAATTTGTCAATTGAGGCATCGTTGAAACGTTATGGAAATATTTCCGGTAAAAAACGTAGGATTTCGGGGTTATGTGTATTCACCAAAAATGATTGTAATTAACCCCCGCAACCAAAAATAATTTTTCCAGAACGATTTGAAAAAATTTTTTTTCTCTAGGCACCTACCCCCTGTCGATTTCTCTTTTTTTTTAATAATTTTGTTTGACGACCTACAGAAAAGTTGTCTAATACTTTTTTGTAGGTACCCATGGGCTTTACTTCAGAAAAAAATTTCATTGAAATATATTTACTATTGTAGGAGTTATGGCTGTTCGAAAATTGGACCACTATTATGGGGTTTTTCTCACTTTACGGGGTCAAGGAACAACTTTTCCAATATTTTTGGAATTTCTACATATTCCCCATCAAAATACGCGCAGTTTTCCGTTTCGAACATTAAAATCCTCCAATCCGTTCAGAAGTTATGACGTTTCAAAGATTCGCATGAAATTTCAGTGAAACATCTAAACGGTATGGTCAGACATGAGATTTTCGGTAATGAATTTTTTTCTCGAAACTGCGTAGAATTTCGGGGGTATGTCTATTCACAAAAAATGCTTGTAATTGACCCTTGCAACTAAAAATAATTTTTTCAGAACGATTTGAAATTTTTTAATTTCGCCGATAAAGACAATATTCTTGATTTTTTTCTGGAAAGTGGATAGGATTTCAGGGGTATGTCTATTCACCAAAAATGCTTGTAATTGACCCTTGCAACTAGAAATAATTTTTTTAGAACGATTTGAAATTTTTTAATTTCGCCGATAAAGACAATATTCTTGATTTTTTTCTGGAAAGTGGATAGGATTTCAGGGGTATGTCTATTCACCAAAAATGCTTGTAATTGACCCTTGCAACTAGAAATAATTTTTTTAGAACGATCTGAAATTTTTGAATTTCGCCGATAAAGACAATCTTCTTGATTTTTTTTCTGGAAAGTGGATAGGATTTCGGGGGTATGCCTATTCACCAAAAATGATTGTAACTGACCCCTGCAACTAAAAATAATTTTTTTAGAACGATTTGAAATTTTTTAATTTCGCCGATAAAGACAATCTTCTTGATTTTTTTTCTGGAAAGTGGATAGGATTTCGGGGCTATGTCTATTCACCAAAAATGATTGTAATTGACCCCTGCAACTAAAAATAATTTTTCCAGAATGATTTGTGTATTTTTAATTTCACCGAAAAATTTTAGTACTTTCTGATTTTTTTCTGGAAAGTGGATAGGATTTCAGGGGTATGCCTATTCACCAAAAATGCTTGTAATGGACCCTTGCAACTGAAAATAATTTTTTTAGAACGATTTGTAATTTTTTAATTTAAAATTTTTTTTATGCATATCGCGATAAGAAATTAAATCATTTACGAATATATATTTCGTAAAGAATGCTCGCTTACGATTACCCTTAACACTTGATTAACATTTCAGTAAGGTTCCACCCCCATGAAATGCTTTTCCATGTCATGATCATCCCTTGAGGGACGATGGCGAGCCCTACGAATAATAACAAAGTAATATTTCTTTTGCACATTTTGTTCTGCAAAATTTAAACCTCTAACTATTGCTAGCGGGTAGTTTCGCGATTCGTTGAATACTTTTTAAATATATGTATATTTAATTCGTAGTAGCTTTTAATCGTCCACCAGGATTCATTTTCATATATTTTAACGAAAACAGAAGAAAACCTTTAATAAAATATTTTGTCCGTATTTATGCATGTCTCATATTACCACGTGTTTTGAAATCTAATTATACACACGATTTCGTTATTAAAAATGTACCCGAAAAACGTGCTTTCCCACATTTCTGATCGTACTGTGCTAACTTCGAATATAAAAAAGGGTACGTGTTCCTCTCACCGCGGTTCGTGATTCTATCGAACAGCGAATTAAACGTCTCAGGCCACATCCGGGATCCCGCCATGTTCGCGGCCGGGCCGGAAGAATTACGTTTTGCATAGGAGGCTGAAACGGTTCGCCGGCGACGGGATTAACGTGA